CTACTGGTCTGTTACAAACATGAAGTTGACACCACATACTTTATACTTGAATTAAGTAGCAGCAGTCAATATTGAAAGCAGGTCTTTTGTTGTGGTATAGTTTTCTTTTAATGATGTTAAGTATTGATGATTCCTTTAATTAAATAGGTGCCGTATCAGTGAATCGCTATGTCTCTCGTCCTAGCTGTTTACAGACTGCTGTTTGTCCATCTCTTTAAGTTTTCCTCCCAATTGTTCCACTGTTTACCTTTTATTCACTTGCTATTAACGTTTTTTTTTTCAGTATGGTTTGTTATATGAGTGTCAAGCATTTTAATGTGTCTCATTCATATTTCCTTCAGCGGCTTCCCTTTTCATAGCCAGTCTCTCCAAAATCCCACCTTCCTCAGCCCCACCCCACTCATGGTATAGGCCACTCTTGTTTATATCCACATCTACAGAGACTCACTTCGCCTTTTTACTTGTTCACAACACTAAGCACTTCACGAATAGCTGCTCTAACCTTCATCTTTGTGCCAGGTCATGCGGGTGTTCAAGGGAACGAGCGTGCAGACTATTTTGCTGACACTATAGTTGCTATTGCTGGCCCAGTACTGGACAGAAGTAATGTTGTCAATGCCACGCCCTGCACTTACCGTACCGAGGACCTGACTCCGTATCCCTATCTAGACTGATGGACATGGGGGTGCAGCCTGGAGCTGCAAGAAATATATAATTCACTAAGGGGACAAGACGTCTCATTAACCAATTTGGAACAGGCTTTATCAATCGTTTTTTTACTTGTGGAGCTTTGGCGGAGGAGATCGGAGCACTTATGGATCTGTCCGGAGTGCTGTGATAATAATTTTGTCTAATCATTCATCATTTGCTTGTTCACCTTTCAAGGCTTGCAAGGGTTGAATATTCACAACGGACATTTCCCATAAAGCTTCAGGTAGAACGATACCTACTCGATACCTGAAGCAGTACTGGTATGACTAAACAAGGATATATAGGTACGAAATGTTAAACAAATACGTAGTTTTGAACAAGCGGAAATCAACCAAGCTATGCAAGAACTAATTAGCTACCATAATCAAGATACTATTATTATACTACATGCTAATCACATCCACTTAGAACAACAGAGGACATTATACTTCGTGCTGCCATAAGGTACCACAATTATAACAGTTTTATAAGACAGACCAGGCTATCTGGAATATGTTTCTCTTTGATTTAAATCTGAAATGTAGTGTGGAATCTTCAGGAAACAGTCCCGCAGAGGAAACAGTATGAAAAGAATAAAATAATGAAAGAAACTACATCAGTGAAATGAAACAGAATAAAGATAATGTTTCACTAAACAACTGTAGAAGAGTGACCCTGTTTGCTGCTCTGTGAGGAATCATCTTGATCTGGACCAGTAGCTCTGTGCCGCTTCAACTCCTCAATCACATCCCCATATTTGCCTTGGCTGGGCCTTGGGACTCGATGGCTGGCCTGGTGGTCACGGTCACCTCTGTGTTGGTCATCTCTATGATCAGCACGATCATAGTTGCTACGAGAAGCTTGATGACGTCTGTTGTCATGGCGACCATCGGTAGAGCGATGTACATACTGCCGGACATCGCGGTCGTCTTCATGTCTCTTTGGTTGGTCGGTTTGTCTATGGTGGGTTTGATTCTCGTCCTCTTGAGATAGGTTTAAGTTTGTAGATCTGACGGGGTCTTTGAAATAAGTCTGCAACACAAACGTTTAAACGTAAGAGGTATAGGAGAAGGGAGTCTGTCCTTGGTTGGTAAAATGGATAGCACATGTTTTGTATACTGGTGGGGTAGCTCTTCGCTTCGGTTCATGGACCTCCATACCATGTATTAGAGCTTCAGGACTATCGCATGGATCTGCAATTTAACCTGCACTGTTCAATGATTTTACCAGCAAGATTACGGACCTGAAAACACCTGGATTTGCAGAAAATGTACATTTGCAGATGATGTTCTCGTATATAGGAAGGAGGAGAGATTGAAATCAAATAGCTCAAGAGTAACAGGTTACAGTAGATAAGGTGATCGACTGGTCTACAGAGATGAGTGCTGTAATTAACCCAGAAAAGGCAACTGTTCTGTAATTACTCAAAACCAAGTTCATAAGCGCTCGGATACCATCTTCAGTATATCAGCGTATGGCAACTGATTATGTGTTGGTTGACTTTTCTTCTTTGGCTACCTGTACGGTTCATATATGGCAATACCTCTTTTGACCTGATTTTCTTGTAGTCTTTTTAATTTTACCGTCTCACCTTTAGTCTCCTGAATCATCTATTCGTCCTGCCTCCTTGATTGCGTTCTGGATATCGACCAAGACCATTGCTTTTTCTTATCTTATCTACCAGTAAGACAATCGGCTCGTTCAATCCCTTCTTTAGCCAGAGTGCTCTGGCACAAAAATGAAACTAATTCCTGTCAGACGAGATTTTCTCAGTAAATCCAAACATTGTCTTCAAACCCATTTTGTTTAAGTTGTAAGAACTGTGTCAAAGAGACAAAGACTTAAATAAACATGTTTATTGGTTATCATATTTCTATGTTGCATTGTTTTCGTCAATTGAGTTTTCACTGTAGGCTGAAGACACTCTACGCCTTCACAGTATGACAGTAGCCAGTGGCATCCAGCGTGCACTGAATCGCAAATTATTCCTCTCCACGACACTTAAGAAGCGGTTTATGACGATGATGATGATGAATTTAGTTCAGTGAGAAGGAACCTCTACAAGATCATGAATACATTCACAAACAGTCAGCACCTATGACATTTCTACAGTCTGATTGTTCCTGTTTGTTAGCACCATTTAGTTTTTATTGCTTCTGTCTATATTTATAACTATCGGCGGTCGTGGCTTAGTCGTTGCGAGTCCGACCCGTAACTCCAACGTACCGCGATCGAAACCCACTGCTGTCTGCGTGGATTTTTATTACGTTATGGGGCGTCGCAGGTCGACCCAGCCTAAAATGGGAACCAGGATGGGAACCTAGTGCTGATTAGTTTGTTAACATATGGAGTGCTGTTCCCATATGCGCGATAATTAGCTTTGGCATTTCAGTTCTGTTGTACGATTTATGAAAGAGACAGTCTCAAACAACAAACTTGAGAATACAAGGAGCCCCTTCAATATTACTGAAGCAATTCTTTTAAAGGGGAAAAAACATTCCTCTGTAAGACATTGGTGGGTGTAGTAAAGAGCAGTAGATACCACTTACCTCCCTATGATATGTTCTATTCCTGCTCCTACTTGCACCTTCATCGTAATAATGCCTACGATTTTCACCACCAGAACTGAATCCTTTTGGGGGAGGCATACCTGCCTCACTCTCTGAGTGGTCAGACTGTGAATGTAATTTCAAAACTGCCTAAGAATATATGTGGGTGCCTGTCTATGCATCTGTTAATCAGTCTGCTTACTAAAGGGGGGTAATGAAAACAACTTATAAACCCGTGTAATCGCTAAAAATGTTGTGATTGAAGACGCAAGACAGCAAGCACACACAGAAGGCGAAAGAATGTTTTGATACGTATGCCAACAAATTGGGAGATAGTGTGAGAAATTCATGTATGAGACAAGCTAGATGTGCACAAAGCCGACTGGGAGCAAGCGGACAACTTGGGAGATAGTGTGAGAAATTCATGTATGAGACAAGCTAGATGTGCACAAAGCCGACTGGGAGAGAGAGGAAAGTGCAGAAGCACATACAATTCATCACTGGCTTAAGAAAATGGTGCATCTGGAAGTCTCCTGGGTATCTGACGACACTCAACTTTCAGAGAAAAGGCAAAGCGATAATCAGACTGCGACTGATTCCATCGGAATTAGAACTCTGCGCTGGTTGCTGAAGATGAGGACGGAGCGCTTATTGGAATGACTAGAGTATTATGATGTCAGTTCTTAACTCCATTCAACGTGCATGAGAGGTGAACGAGTATACGCTTTTGTTGAAAAACCACGTCGACTGGCTCTGTTTACAAGTCATTGTAAGGACTAAGCATTATTAGATCATAGAAACCCAGATCATACCAAGACAGAGCGGAAAAAAGAGACAGAAAGAACAGAAGCCAGAAACAACCACTCAGAAGACAGGAATCACAAGACAACGAGAGGATAGGATAGAACCAAAATACAATATCCAGATGTGTCCTGACATAATCAGGAACGAAACAAAGTGACCAAAAAAAAAAAAAAAAATAGAAGACCCTTGCTTCTGTATACAACAACACCAGGTATAAACAACTCTATACAAGGAAGAACCAGCATCAATTAAACCGTCTAGAACAACACAACAAAATAGAACCAAAGGGAACCATATTCGAACAAACCATTCTCAATAAAGATCGCAACTATAGGCATCAGCTACATAGATGAAAAAGTCTGAACGAGATCGAATTATCTTTTTCTTTTACAGGAAGCAAGCAAGCAAGCAAGCTCTGTTTACTCTTGTGCTACCGGAATATGGTGGTTATTTAGTTCCATTTCGTCTTTCAAGTGGAAGTGGAGAAGGCAGAATGGAGATTACAGACCAGAGAGTGACAGCATAAACAAATTCAACAGGAAAGAACCAACAACAATTTTTACTTCGGACTGGACACTGTGGTCTTCGAGCACACCTGTACAGGACAGGTATAAAAGAATCTGCTGCCTGTAATTGTGGAGCAGAAAGACAGGCCCCTGGGCACATACTACAGCACTGCCATTACCTCTCCCAGCAAAGACTGTGGATCTGGCCCAAGGGAGCCACATTGAAAGAGATGCTATGGGGGACCGGTGGCGACTTTAAACGCACAATTCTATTTGTGACACAGACGGGACTCAATGTTTAGCAAGACTGATGTCGAACGCAGAAGAAGAAGTTCCATTTCGGTATAAAGTAAATCAACACACTTATTCTGTGGACGCAAATTAAAATCAGCTGTACATACATGTCGCAATTGTAACTGACTCAGAGAGTATGCTGAGAAAGATGGAGACAGGCATGCTCCGTTGAGAATGGCAAGCATCCATACGGATATTCCGGGTTGTTAGCGTTCTGTGTATATTTTTTCCAGGTCTTGGCGGAGTGTGGGGAAGTAAGCAGTAGGACGGGCTGGCTGGTTCTACATCACTTAGTGGTGAAGTGATTATGACAAGCTAGATGTTGTCAGGGCCCTCTGGGAGCGAGGGAACAGTGTGGAGGCACAAACAGATCATTACGGTCCGAGGAGGATAACGCTGCTTGGAGTTACCAGGTCTTTAATCTTGCTCCTGTGATGGTATTTAATCTCGCTACATTCTTACGAGATGGCCAAACCACTCAATCTGCTATTTCTCCGAAAAATCTAGTAGAAGGTGTCGCTCCTACAATTTGTCTGATAGTATCATTATTCACTCGGATGGTTAGGTTGGCTGTTTTTCGCTGGCATCTCATCTCGCAGGTGGTGATTTTGCGTACGTGGGCGTTAGATAGTGTCCATGTCTGACACTGGTAGCTTAATGTTGGAATGACTATGTTGTGTATAATTTGTCTCTTTGCACTCATAATTATGTTTGGATCTTTACACATAGCATTACCATTTTAAAGGGGATACAATGAGGATTATCATACACAACTATAAATAACACGGATAATCTTATCTAACAGCAGAGCAGAAGGATTATAATGATGCTTATATACGACAAAGATATTCTATATCTGTAAGCATGCGTAAGTAGCATGGCTGTTTTTATGGGATATTGTAAAAGAGTTAATCACGACTCGGTACAAGAAATGCAGCCTCCGTGGCTTAGGCGTTGAGAGTCCGACTCTAATTCCAACGTACCGCGATCGAAAACCACTGCTGGCTGCATGTATTTTTATCATGGTATGGAGCGTCGCAGGTCGACCAAGCATAAAATTGGTATCAGGATGGCTGTCCTTGGGAAGTAAACACAACCGGCGTAATGCTGACCACATAGTGCCGAGTGGTCTGTAAAACTACTGGCTCTCTTCCCATATGCCTGATAGGGGTGAAAAGAGATCTTTACTTTTTAAGTACAAGAAATATAATCATAAACAATTTACCATTTGAGATGTATCCCTGGCTTCATTCAGGTTGTATTCTTCATAGTCGTCCCTAGCACTGGCACCAGCTACATAGTCTTCCTCGTATTCGTCCCTGAATGAAAAGAGAGTTGACACCCAAAAAAAACATATGGGGGGGGGGGGAATCACCCCCGCTTGCACAAGCTCTGTGTGAGTGTGTGCGTGTGTTTATGTATGTGTGTGTAAGTGTATCATCTTTAATATTCACATTTCTCTCGTTGTTTCCGTATTTATGTCTCAACTGTATGATTATATCTATCCTTTCTCTTCTACGTTTTTTTTTTGTCCCTCTGTTTATGGGTGTCTAATGTGTGTGGGTTTGTATGTGTCTGTCCCCTTTGTTTTAATCTTTCTTCCCTATCTTTAGATCCCTTTTACCCTGTCTGTTTGCAAGTCTGTCTGTCTGTTTGCTGCCTGTTTATGTGTCTGTGTCTCAAAAGCCCCCTTTTCTCTAGACTTCCACATATAATTGTTGGTATCCCAAGGCTACAAAACTGTCTATTTCTTAGTAAACCTCAGCCATTCTGATCTTATTCTGTCCCAGAGCGAGGCTTCAATTATATATATTTTTTAAACTTTTTTTATAGCATTTTGTTTTTTTAATTTTCTTAGAAAGACAGATTTGACATTTGCAATTTAAGTGTAAACTGCTACTTACGTACTCCGTCTTATAATAGTGTTTTGACTCCTTTAGACTATGTTCATTTATCTTTACAAACCCCGTGGGCGAAGTAGACGGAATTAATATGTCTGGCACAGAAAAGTTCGAGCAATAGGTTCCTTTTACGGATGTATAAAATAACAGAACTGTCAGAATACACATCAAAGACGTCGAAACGTGATCTTTAACTATTTAATATGCAGAAATATCTTTTTTGATTTGCGATAACTGCATCAGTCAGCAAGTGAATTTTTACATTCTGATGACATCATAGACACAAAATGCAAGTAACTCAAACAAAACATTAAACAAACCTGTATGTGTGTTGCTCTCCCTTGTCGTAACCAGAATCATCCTGTTCTTGGTATTTGTTGCCATTGTCATATTTTTCAAACCCGCCATCGTCCTCATCATAATCTTCCTCATAGCTGTTTCAACGAAATCAGATTATATAAATCAACCTAACACCGTTTTCCCCCATTATGATCATAGGTATTCCCTGCTCCTCTTCGTCTCCTACTTCACCTTCTGCTTTTAGCTCGCTGTTATCGCACAGGAGAGCAAGTGTCATAAACTAACTCTTGCAAAGTCCTGCTGTTTCTTCCCGCCAATATGCGACCGGGTCGCCAAAGATGGTCACAGACTGGGAAATTTCGACTGAAAAGTCTTTTCGACAATTCATGGAATTGACAGAACAGAAGAAACAGAGAAAGGCATAATCTACTATGCCCACACACAAAATATACTGTAATGAATAATAATACAGGATGAGGAGAATGGTGCTGCAAGATGTGGCAGGGAATTCGGCCGACAATCGACCCTCGGGGGAAGGTGAGACAGATACACAAGCAGACTGTTACTGCTACAATCAAAACTGGAACTCTGTACTTTCTACTGAAGATGTGGAGGGAGCGATTATGGGAATGTATCGAGTGCATTATGTCGATTACCAATTAAATATTAAACATAGGATAAAAAATAATTATTGTAAACTGAATTATATGATGCACATTCTTATCCAAAGGTAGATAGATGTTTTATGATGTCTTTCAACTTTTCTTCTTCTCTTCTTCTTGAGCGTTCCGAGCCCTAGATGTTCATTGTTGCAGATATCACTCGCCATCACTCATCTCTCTAGTAGGCATTCTCTTTCTACTTGGTGACACCAAGTGTTCGTAGATCTGTCTAGTCGTTATCTCTCCATCGTCTTCCTGGTCTGCCTCTTGGTCTACGACCACTCAGCTCCCCTGTGTATGCAGTTTTTACTTCTCTGTCATCTGACATTCTCTCAATATGCCCAAGCCATTTGAGTCTATAAGATCTCATGTTGAAAGTGATCTATGGTGATTTAAACAGATTACGAATTACGTTGTTGCTTCTCACTCTCCACTTCTTGCTTTTTGCATCTTTGATGGGTCCGAAGATTCGTCGTAATATTCTGTTTTCGAAAATTTGTAAAGAGGCTTTATCTCATTTAGTTCTGCGCCAAATTTCAGAGCTATGTCTCTCTCCTGTAGAAAAATATACATACATGCCTATTGAAAGGATCAAGTGAATGAAATAATGAAAGTGACTACATTCCGTGGGGTGAAGGGGTATGGATGGGAGAGGGGGAGGGGGTGGGAGGTACCGTGGCAACACACTTTAAGCAACAACAACAACAAAACACACACAAAAAGACTATCTGCCTCTCTATCAAGCATGTTAAAAAAAACGAATTATTTGTTTTCTTCGAAGCCGGAGTGCATCTGCATGAGATGCAAGAAGCCAAAGTTTGCATGCAAATAAGCCAGATCTGCCAAATGGATGTACAGGCAGGCAACACTCACATTCTGAAACAATACTAAAATCCACAAGAGGACTAGCAACCATAACGTTCAGCTAGATTTTACAGTCGACTAACACAAAGAAAAAGAAAAACTGAGGTCAATGCTCGTGGTCCATGCCCATGAGTGCTTTACCCACTTCCCCAGTACCCAGCGATATTGATGGTGACAGCCTCAGCTGATTAAAGGGATGCAGGTCTTTTTCTTAGTCGTAGTCTTAGTCGTAGTCAAGGTTTCAACTACACAGCAAACGTGTCACTCCATACTTGCTTGGTTCCTGTGTCAGTGAGTCCCTCACTGTCGCATCTGAACAACTGGTGAACAAACAATTAGTCCCGGCACAGTCCTGAAAAATGCGCACGCATTAAATGTATATTCTGTGGAAAAAGGGGGGGGGGGGCAAAATAAAATCCACATCTGCACAGTCGTGGCGACAGCACTAGCCATACGCGCGAAAATCCTCAAGCTCAAACACCCCCCTGCCTACACCGCAAAAGTTGTGTAATAAAGGCAGTAATTTGAAGTTGTTTTTTTTAAAGCAGTAAATGCATATGGAATTTGCTAAAGGCGCCCAAACCAACAGTCGCCACCAGAAATTCAGTTTATCGTTGATAAAAGTATTTGGACACAATAAGTTGGCCATACACACGTTAAATTATGACCAGACCTCACTTAAACCGGCCTCATTGAATACTACGACTCAACAGCTGCACAAGTGTAAAAAATGCATTCCACATGAAAAATACAGCTGATAGTGCCGCATCAAGCATTAAACTCAGTAGCTCAGACAGCGGAACATGGACTTCCGTGCATATGCGGAAACCGCATTAGCAAAGTGCTGTCGGAAGCTAAACATTCTGCCATGCATAGTCCTCCAAATTGGACGGGAGGCTTCTGACCCTGTACTGACCCCCAGCTGAATAAGTCTTTCTAAATGTGGATATATCTGTCTGTTGAACTGTGCTTCGCATATTTATTAGTTCAGTTACGTAAAGGTAACAAGCTGCTGTAAACAATCGATACTTACTCATTTCTGTAAATCTCATTGCTGAAACCGCCAGGCTCTGGTCCAAATTCTTTGGAAACACTGGGGATCTCTTCCTTGTCTTTCGGAAATATAAACAGTAAATGTATATTTTAACACACACACACACACACACACACACACACACACACACACATATATATATATATATATATATATATATATATATATATATATATATATACATATAAATATATATATATATATATATATATATATATATACGTGTGTGTGTGTGTGTGTGTGTGTGTGTGTGGCTTAGGCGTTGCGAATCCGCAAAGCAATATAGAGGTGCAAGGTTCAATTCCAGCCATGGATGATTTGGCAGCAGACCGGCTGCGATGGTTTCGACACTAGTGGTATGGCAAACTACTGAACTAGCGAAATCACAATCAGCCAGAAAACGCTTGCGTTTGTTCTGCAATGTCCTACAAAGGACACACACAAACACACACACACACACACACACAAACATGCATACATACATATATTTTGGAGTAGGTCAAAGTGTCTGAGCAAGTTTCAGACTTTTGCAGGGTTCTTAAAAATTTAGGTCGTGAGTGCAGGGTCTGGCCAGCTGGTGCTGAAGAATGATAAGTTCAACAAATGATTTCAGTCACTGCTGCCTTCCGTTGGCTTGATAACCAGCTGTACACACTTTCTGTAATTGTAACTGACACGACTCACAGATAATATTGAAAAAGGTGGAGACCGGTATACTCCATGCGGAGTGGCAAGCATCACTTTAGAGGTCCCGGACAGTTAGCATCCTTTGGATAGTTTCTCCAGGCTATATCGGTGTGTTGGGAAATGAGCGCACAGATAGACTGGCGACTGGTGAATGGATGTATGGCAAGCTAGATATTGTAGGGCCCTTTGGGAGCGATTGAACAGCGCGGAGGCACAGACAGATCATTGCTGTCTGAGGAGAATGGCGCTTTGAAGGGTTACCAAGGGATCCGGATGCACAATCAGACAGTTACTGGTGCCATAGGAATTTGAAATCTTCGCTTACTGTTTTGGAGTGTCCGGATGTCGATTCCTAATTCAACATTTAACATAAATATAATTGAAAGGGGTTTCCATATAATATAATGCTGTTAGGGTTGAAAGTGTAAGGTCCCACACATTGTAGGTCGCGACATTTGAGGTGTGGGTGGTCAGCTCTCTTCATTGTCGCATATATTTTCGGAGACAATTTCCAGAAAATTCCTAATATTTTCTAGCATCTATTTTAACCGAGGCTGAGTAGTCATTTAATTTGCAGTAAAATTAAGTGTCCTCGTGGAGAGATAGAAAAAAAAAAAAAAAAACGAAGGAGTCTCCTTTGAAAGAGATTAACGTAGTAGTCTGATTAGAAAATTAGACACAAACTGTGGGCGTTTTTCGGACATGTTATAAACAAAATGGATTAGAGAACCTGGTAACAACTGGCCAGATAGATGGAAATAAAGCAACAGTGAGGCAAAGCGATAACTATCTGGATAACTTAGCCCTATTGATGGCGTGTGAGATGGCGAAACATGACAGACTACATTTGTCGGTATGGCATATGATGATGAATATATGAAAATCCAATGAAGGTTACAGGTTTGAATCCTTCTGTAACTATAGCTTCAATTTGTCTATTGTCTAGTCTGCCATCTAATCTCTACGTTATACATTTGTTTACTATGAGATGCAATTATTACAGGTGAACTGATTTTTCTTCTTCATCCAAACAATTGTCATCTCCATGATAAAAGTTGGTTGCAGTGAATCTCAAACGTTCTCCGTGCCTCATCATTGTTTTACAATCTCTCAAAATGTCGTGCATCCCCCTGATTGCATCCTTCAACTTTGTATTTTTTATGACCATTATGTCCTGTAAGAAACTACAACATTACTATCCCAAGAAACTCTTCATGGAAGCCAAAAATGAAACTCAAAGATCTGATGGTGAGGCTCCCAGGCCAGGCAGATCACAAACGCGAACTAGGGAAGAGAACGATGGCAGAGCAAGTAAGGGTAGTCGTGATGATCTTTAGAAAGATTCTCAGAATATCTTGGACAAAGAAGATGAGAAATATTGACATCTTAAAAGATCTGAACATCAAGGAAGATTGGCTAATAAACAGCATCCTTTCTCGAAAATTGAAATATTTTGGTCATATCAAGCGCCACGACGGATTGGAAAAAATTATAGCAGAAGGCATGGTACCAGGGAGAAGGGGCAGGGGCTGACCGACACGAAGATGGGCACGGGATATAAGTGACTCCTTGAGTGTAAAAGTGCATGAGGCGGGAGAACTGGCCAGAGACCGAGTTTCTTTCAGGCAGACTGTAATGATAGCGACGTTCTGCAAAGTACCTGCTACATGATGATGATTGTGTCCTGTAAGTCGGCGTCTGTGGCTTAGGCGTTGTGAAAATGCTTCGAAATGTCTGGGTGCCGGGTTCGATTCCTGCAGCAGACGATTAGTCTTGCGCTGGTTTCGACAGTGGTACCGAGAGCTGACCGTGCAGTAGCAATGGCAAACTATTGAACGTAAAATTTGCCTAGAAAAACCACAACAGTCAATAAATTCTGGAATTGGTTCTGCGACGTCCTGTAAAGGATACTCAACTAACAAAAATGTCTTGTCATGTGGTTAAAATTGTTCGCTTAACTGTTTTTTTTTTTTTTAAGTTTTTTTTCTTTGAAAAACATTGTTTGCTAACGATCTCCCCCAGCAACTTCACTTTTGTTTGACTGTTACAGGCTGGATATAAATTACTATGTTGTTATTTGACACTTTTATGTATGTGGATAATTTTCCATAAGTTCTGGGTAATAGTGCATTGGAGCCCACAGGGGCATAGAAATAAAGGAAGGCCAAAAAACACACAGCGAAGAGAGCTGGAGAATGAAGTTAGAAAGATGGGGAGGATATGAGGAGAGCTCCATGTAGTGGCGAAGGATAGAACGACTTGGCGAGAGTTGGTTGAGGGCCTATGCTCGATTGGGGGATAGAAAAGCAGAAGAAGAATAGTGAGTGGGACTTTCCTTTTTTTGTAATAATAATTATTATTTTAAAATCATGTTGGAACGGGGTAGGCATCTTGCCATACATTTAAGTATGAGCCATATGTGACAGGCTGAAAAACACTTTTCTAGATCAATCATTATAACATGATTACATGGACGTCTTACTATATTGAGTACCCGTATATGTTTCCGATCCATTGCGATAGGTCCTAATCTCTTGGTTCTTGGGTTCGAATCTAAACCCTCTCCGGTAGCACACCACGAACAAGATGACTAAAGCTGTTTCCAGCAGAAGGGAGAAGATTATGCCCATAAACCAACCAAGGTTGGCTGCAATATCATAGGCTTTAGCTGGGGATGACAATGTATTGAAAATATAAAATCAAATCACACATAAGCAAACGTATATTTAGAGTGAGTCATTCATATGGCTACAAATATACAATAAAATGAAGAATATTGCAAAGACACTTACACAAACACACTTATACACAAGCAGACACACGCACAGACCCACACAGCGAGCGTCTAGTCTCCATACCACAGCGGCTCATACGCTAAAAGAGCCCAATAGTTTTAAGATCAATTGACAATCAACTTGTTATATAACTTATATCAGGAGACTTCTTAAAAACTATACACACACACATATATAATTATACACACACACACACACACATATATAATTATATATATATTTATATATATATACACACACACACACATATATATATATATACATATATATATATATATATATATATATATATATATATATATATATATATATATATATAAACCAACCCTTACGCATACAAACAACAAAAAAAACAGTTAATAGATAGTCGGCAGTTTTAAGATACCACACGAAAGATGTCGAAATTTAGTTTTATCGACAAATATTAAACGGATTAATGACGTGTTAAAAACAAAAACGTCATAAAAACATCTTGAAAGATGTTCTCGGTACATTAAAGGACTTATTCAACAGGGTGGGAGTAGGGAGGGTCTGGGAGATTTTTATCACTAAGAGGGAAATAAAGGCGGACTTTTAAACATGTTGTAACTGCTACTATGTCGACTTTTCCTTGGTTACTGAGGAAGCTGACGGAGCACGTCTGCAAATGTCCCGAGTGCAGTGACATCAGCTATTGATTTTTTGATTTATTCATTCATTCATTCATTCATAATCAGATTTTTTACTTGGACGTGGAAGCAGCACTGAAGTTACGACATAAGACCAACGTCCAGAAGTGGGCGAACAACCATAACTTTTTCCAGAAGTTTACGTCCGCTGAATGCTGAGGAAAAAAGATTATCCTTAAAAATGTTAATTAAAAAAAAAAAAAATCATGTACGATAAGAAGACGGATATGCATTACCTATGCCATCTGTTGTAACATCCTCTTCGACTGATATCCTTCTGGTTTCACCGTTAGTAACAGCAATACGAATGGTGTACCTGATTCCTGGCTGCAGGAAATCCACCTTGACCCAGTCTCGGCTGACGTCTGGGGTAGTACTGAACCATTCAGCGCTGTCTGTGAAGGTGCAACAAATGTATCACGTTCAGTCAAGTAAAATGAAACCTCCCTGATTCGCCACTTTATGGTCCATGTCGTGTAACGGTTGTAATTATGACTGATCGAAGGCTTTTTGTCTTGTATACTGTCAGTCGCTGCAGATGTACATGTGTCTCTACGACAAACTGTCGCAAGTGTAGCCCAGGTCTGATTATAACTGTAAATTAATAAGTTGACCCTGATATACTTTTGTCCCTTCATATTTGCCCTAAAGATGACCAGGGTATGAAATATATTGCATATTCCACCATTCTTTTTTGTTTTTGTTTACGTTAACACCACAAATATCTTTTCTTTGCATGATTAGAAAACTCAGAGAGAGAGAGAGAGAGAGAGAGAGAGAGAGAGAGAGAGAGAGAGAGAGAGAGAGAGAGAGAGAGAGAGAGAGAGAGAGAGAGAGAGAGAGAGAATTGATGTTTAGGAAAATCTCCTATCGAAAAAATACCCTCCTCCCTCCTCAAGTTGACAGAGGCATGAAAAAATCAATAGAACAATGACATGAAACAAGATGAGGAAATGTATAAAAGATAACATAAGAAATTATTCTGCAAACTCTACTGTCTCTGTTGTACTCTGTACACAAGATGCCTCACGAGGACTACTACCACATGATGTCGATAAATAAATTTCTTCTTTTTTCTTTTCCACTTTCGTTCTTTCTTTCTACATCATTTTGTCAAGAGGTATATGGTGCAAGCCTTAGCGTGGCTACACAGATGCTGTCGCTCACTTCGATATTCAATGAATAACATTTACATATAAAAAGACAATTTAAAAAAAAACACTAATTGAATAAAACAAACAAAAGGAGAAACTTAACAGACAATTGAATTGATACATGACAAGGCAGATGCGGTCAAGGCCCTTTGGGAACAAGTACTGGAACTCTGCGCTGGCTGTTAAAGATGAGGACAGAGCACGCATGGGAATGCCCTAGTGTTGTGATGTCAATTATTGACTCAACTCGATACGAAACAGCAAAAGAGACACGGTTTTCTGTTGCAGTCCTACCTTCTCTTTCACACTGAAGAAACACAATACTTCATGAGACCTATTAAGCATCATGATAAAAAGTGAGGCTGAATTAATATAATTTATGTAGATACCGGCATAAAGATCTAGGACAGAAAGAAAAAAAAAAGTAAAAGAAGAAGACATATACAGAAAACGTTAAACATTCTCTGCAATCATACCTTCTCTCTTGTACTCAACGTAGACAACGCTTCCTGAGGACTGGTAAGCATCCCTCCACCAGGTGACATTGATGAAGGTAGTTCCCACATCGGCAATGGTGAACCTAGGTACCATCGGAACTGCAGAAAGTTAGGACATCAATATTGGTAAGTGTGAATATACTTTAAGGAAATATACTTTCACATACATTAGGCCAAAGGTAATGTAATACGATAAATACGAATATGGTGAACACCGTTTTATAGACATGCTTTTCTAAATAATATATTTATATATTACACAAACAGTCTTGTATAAAACTAAAGTAAAGTTCCCTTTTCACGCCTTTCGGCGCATCGGGGATATGGGCAGAGCGTCCCTTATTTTTACAGACCATCAGCACTTTGTGGGTAATGTGGTCAGCATTACGCCGGCTGTCTTTGCTTTCCCAGGACAGCCCATCCTGGTACCCATTTTGGGCTGGGTCGACCTGCGACGTCCCATACCACGACAAAAATCCACGCAGCCTGCAGTGGGTTTCGATCGCGGTATGCTGGCTTACGAGTCGGGCTCGCAACGCCTTAGCCACGGACACCGCGTCTTGTTGTATACACCATCATCATCATTTTCATTATCCCGTAACAATGCGTTTCGTCGGGTCATCAGTTTCTGTATACTGTCTGACCAGCTCTCTCTACCTTTGGCGGTCAGTTGCGATGGGATTTATGGTTGCATGCCTGCCCAGTCAGTCAGGTTCTGTAACCAGGACTTTTTGGTCTGCCCCTTCTCCTCTTTCCCTCTAATGAGCAATGTATTGTTTTTGATAGGACGTTAGATTTTATTACATGTCCACACCATCGCATTTTTTTTCCGCATTTTTATTGTAGTTGAAAGAGGTTCATAGTTGCCAATGTGCTGTATAATTATATGGCGAACCTCTTCGTTTGTAATGCAGTCTCTGTATGATATGCCAAGAATTTTTCTGAAACATCGCATTTCCAATGCTTGTATCATTCTTTCGTGTTCAGCTGTTATGGTCCACGTTTCACAGCCATGTGTAAAACCACTAATAGCTAGAGCTCTGAGCAATCGAATCTTTGTTTTGCATGAAATGTTTTTGGATCTCCATAATGTTTGCTGCTTGGCAACGATAAATATTGTTTGGGCAATCCTGAGTATGATTTCTGGTCTTGACTCCAGGTAACTTAAAATGGATCCTAAATATGATTGACATGTTCTCATTTGTGACCTTTAACTTACAATGGTGAAGTTATGCCAGCTGGATTATTAGTTATAACTTTTTTTTTCCTGCGTTTATTTCCATGCCATACTCGGTGGATGTTTCATCGAGCAGATTTACAAGCTCGACTAGCTCTTGTTCTTCCACGGCCAGCCCCCACGATGTCACATGCAAACTTAAAGTGTTTTATAGTTCGACCTCCCAAACTAAGTTTTCCATGATGTTGTTCTAGGGCTTCTGTCATATTCCTTTCTGAGAATATATTAAACAGTGTTGGGAAAAGGAAGCAGCCCTCGCGGACTCCTAATGTTGTTCAGAACCAGCTCCCTAACTGTCCGTTCAACATAACAGCACTACTTGGCATAAAGCTGTTCTATACTACGTCTGAGGTTTTTACCCATAATGTACTTTTTCATAAGTGTCCCAGCGTGCTGCATGCCATACTCTATCAAAGGCCTTTTTGAAATCCATGAACACATGGTATAGATGTTGTTGGTGCTGGTGACATAGTACTACTACTACTACTACTACTACTACTACTACTACTACTACTACTACTACTACTACTACTACTACTACTACTACTACTACTACTACTACTACTACTACTACTACTACTACTACTACTACTACTACTACTACTACTACTACTACTACTACTACTACTACTACTACTACTACTACTACTACTACTAATAATAATAATAATAATATTAATATTAATAATAATAATAGTTATAATAATACTAGTAAAAATAATGCTAGTAATAATAATGCCAGAACGAGTGTAAAAAATATACTTCCGGGGGCGACAGTGGTCCTCTCGATGTAGAAAGGCTCTCCCCTGCCCACAGCGGTTCTAGCCCAGATGGTGATCCTGTACTTTGTGTTAGGGAGGAGCCCACTGAGCATTGCCATGGTGGCATATGGATCATCAATCTGTGGCAAGCGATCCTGCATCTCTTCCAGACGCAGTCCTCGAACTAGGATTCAAAGAATCAATAGTTATGTTCATAATACCATTAAAAAAGAATAATTGCTGCGTTATACAAGTATTAGTTCACAAGAGAGAGAGAGAGAGAGAGAGAGAGAGAGAGAGAGAGAGAGAGAGAGAGAGAGAGAGAGAGAGTGCTGCGGACAGACATAAAATGGCATGGGATCTAAGAAGATCAGTATGAAGTGCGCCTCGGTGGTGAAGTGAATGCGTCGTTACCATCTTGCTTCGAAGGAAGTAGTGAATCTGGATTCAGACTACATCATTCTTTTCGCGAACACAAGTGTTTCTGAGATCGCTTGAGTAATCTGTGAAGTTGTAGAGATCGTTATTTGTGCGACTCTCTTGGTGAACGTTCAGCTTCTCTGTGAAATACAAGCCAGACAGGATAGGATCCCATGCGATGGAGTCAGTCAATTAGTCTTAAACATCTTTTGAACTTACTCACACACACACACACACACACACACACACACACACACATACATACACAGGCATACACGCCCGCACGCACGCACGCACGCACGCACACACACACAAACCAACACCCACACACACACTTGCCGAGTGATATGGCCAATATCAACACTTACTGGTTCATACATTTCTTTGATAGAATAATATGAACTCTAGGGATGTGTGGCCAATTTCATACATTCGGGACACGTCGATACGTATCCTAAGGTTTAACAAAATTTAAAGTTGGGATGTGTGTGTGTGTGTGTGTGTGGGGAGGGGGGGGGGGGTTGAGGGGGTATAAGGTTTCAGAGTTATTATAGCGTTAACAACACCATTAAATTTACCTTCCTGGTAGCCGATGTCGAAACCGATCACATCTCCTCTGTTGTCCAGCGGGGGACGCCACCGTAAGTTGATGTGGTTGTCTCCTACGTTCTGGTCTTCCAAAAGCTCTACAGGTCCAGGTACTGTGCAGAAAGTCAGCAAGGGTTGTTTCAATAAAAAGCTATTTATTATTTGTATTATAGTAGCCGCATATTATTACTATCATAATGTGGTAGTTAGGCTAGACACTCGCCTGGGGATCGCAAGGTCATGGGTTCATGTCCTGACGGAGCCGGATGTTTTTTTTTTAAATATGACCTTAGCTCGCAGGTCTACCTAGCTTTAAACGGGTGCCAGGTACAGACCATATAAGTAAAGGCTGTAGGCGAAATGCTAACCACATCAACCACAGAGTGCGGAAGGGTCTTTAAAATATAGCCCTATATCGTCAATATGCTTAAAGAGGCTGGAAAAGTTGCTATACTTAAGAAACAAAACAAAAAAAATTTGTAAACTTCGAAATGTGAAACAAATGGACAAAAGAAATGAGGAGACGTCCAAAAGAATCCCGGCCAAAGAATTTCAATAATATGAATGTACAATAATGAGATAAATTGTCAGTTCAGGTTTAGCCAACTGAGTTAGCCAGCTGGGCTTCCTTGTGTTAATTTTCCTATCCTTTATTTTGTCTTCTATCAGTTTCCCACTGTCTCATATTCTCTCTCATATTCTTTCTCAATTTCTCTTACCCTTCTCTCATACTTTTTTCCTCTTTCTCGCCCTTTCTCAATGTGTCCTAACTTTTTGTCTCTCTCACCATTCTCTCCTTTCTGTCTTAGCTTTTCATTGTGTCAGTTGTCTTTCACCTTTCTTTTCCCTCCACTTTCCCTCTTCTCTAGCAGCACCAACCACTCCTTCTCTATGACACTCTCTAACTCTTTCTTTCTCTGGCTCACACGTTTTCGCATCCATAATCTAACCCTTATTTCTTTCATCCCCTTATTCACACTCTCTCGCAGCATTTCTACTCTCACCATTTCTCTATTTCCTATCTCTCATTCTTTAGTAAACACCCATATATGTATATATGTGTATATATATATATATATATATATATATATATATATATATATATATATATATATATATATATATATATATAAATATATATATATATATATTGTTATAAACACACACACATATATATATATATATATATATATATATATATATATATATATATATATATATATATATATATATATATATACATATAGATGTGTGTGTGTGTGTTTATAACAATGTATATATATATATATATATATATATATATATATATATATATATATATATATATATATATATATATATATAATCAACCGGTACAGATAACTTACATCCAGGCGGTGTCACAAAAGAAATCGTTTCCGAAGGCCTGCTCACGAAAAAGTTGTTCAGCACAGCCACACGTGCTTGTAGGTGAGTATTGGGCATTAAATTAGGAACTCGAGCTTTGAAGATGTTGGATGTGGAATTGCCGAGAACCACTTCAGGTGGCACATTGTACTCTCTTATAGTATCCGCTTTACGGTTCTGCTCCCAGAACTGGATCTGAAAGGTACAGTTTGTAAAACACATATAAATGGTAGAGGTAGCAAGAGATGGTGATCCAGCTGACATACGAGGTATAGGCGAAAGGGTTTGTCGTTTAGTTCATTTAGATTTGTGGGTGTGTATTATGAAATTATAGATACATTTGCTCTGTGTCTTCACTATAAACATAATATATATATATATATATATATATATATATATATATATATATACATATATATGCGTGTATATGTTTATGTGTGTGTGTGTGCGTACGCTCGCGCCTGTGCGAGATCAGCAGAATATTCTCACTGCATGCTCAGTGTAATGATGTATAACACAAAGTGTTAGGGCCATTATTTATCGCTTTGCACTATTCGCAATAGAAAAACATCGCTTTCACATAACTAAGCTATCCAGATACAGGTTATAAATCAGGGTTATAATGCATTTAAGACATACAGTCCGTGGCGCGGTGATTTCGGTCACAGGCATGAGGCAAAGTTAAGTCTGATGTGAGGTGTATAAGGAGATACTCCGTACCCCACTCGGGCGCCAGTCCTTTACTGTTCTGGTTTTACGGAACCTCATGCAAGACTCCTGTTGCACGTCCCCGTCGTGCGCCACGGATAATGTCTCAAACGAGCATTAACAGAGTTGGCAGGGGATCTCGGAGCTGGCGGCCCCTAGAGGTGTAGAGTCCTTTCTGGCTCTCACCAGCCCGCCCCCAAACGCATGGGTGAAAAGTAACAAAACTCAAGGACTGCTTGCTAAATGTACCATCAAATGACAACTCTTGGTTAAAATTCGGGAGCGAATGGAAAACTGTGCTGCTGAGACTCAACCCTGACCGAGAGATTTACCCGCAGCCAAGACGAGTAACATCTCTTGTGGGCGACTTCTCACAGCAAGATCCCACCTACGTACATCCTCTGTAATCCTCAGTGTCGTCGTCACCGCGCCGAGGTACACCATGGCAGCAATTATTCATATGCTGGCTTGAAAACAATGTCCGACAAAGTTAAACCCCATGGCACACATGCAAGCTCAAAGTCCGACGATCATAACTCGTACCGATTAGGAAAAGTCTGAATGTCCGTATCCACTGGTCCAACTCGCCCGAGTGTTGGGACCAAACAGGTGAAGCCAGGCCTGACGCATTTTGCTTCCCCATTCTGTCGTGCTAAGGGCACAGCTGAAACAACGTTAAAGGTGTCTAACGTAAGATGAAAAAGAATGTACCTATATGTGTGGCCACAAACGTCCTAGACCTGCGGGCTGCTCCCCGCTGATCTCCGGAGAGCGCAGCCTTGTAGCGCGGGAAGCTCAATACACGGTTGTGAGGTTAAGCAGTCATGGGCAGGACGTGACGATTCCTTGGGTGAGCCCAGACCCAGAGCATCATGTGTCGGCTCTGCATTTATGGAAGCCTCCTTGGATGGCGGGGAATGCCCATGATCTGCCCCTGCCTTCCCTTGAGGGCTGAAAACTCTACATAGAGCTGCCTTAAGGACGACATGCCGGGGGCCACACTTGTTAAAAGTCAAAGAGGACACCACACAAATAAGGCAACATCTCGACCCACACAAAACAATGGCCACAGTCAACCTAGAAATAGGCTTGACGTCTTCCTCCGAAGTCGGAGTACATCTGCCGGAGAGGCGGGGAACGAGTACTGCAAACAAATAAGCCAGTAAAACGGATGTACACGCAAAACTCAGGTCAAGGTAAAAGCCAAAAGTCCATTTTGGACGAACAACCGTGACTTACCGCCGGAATTCACAGCCGGTGAACAAGAAGAAGAAGAAGAATATACAGTCCTTTATGTAGTTATGACAAGTATCCCAATAGTAATTGCATGTAAATATGTCGTCATAACAAATTGCCTACGTACCCTTTACTGGATGATGCAAAGCAATCACAACATTTGTTGGCTGTTTGTGGTTTTACAAGACAGTTTTACGACCAGTATTACCAGCAGATAATTACCAAACAGGCACTAAAATAGGAAATAAAGCGATTACGGAGGCGAGGAAGCCAAAATAGAACACTCGAACTAAGGTTGATGAGTGAGTCCAAAGGCGCTGGATTGGATTCCCTCCATTATTTTAAATTGATTGCACAGAATAAAACGAAGTGGAGGGATAGAGTGACACATAATGCACAACAGGACCACGATGATGACGAATCTGCTATTCTTCAATCAACGGTCGGCTCTTCATACCGCGGTTGAAGTCAAAGCCAAGCGGTACGATGCTCAATTGCATGCATTTGTTACAATCGCCGCCATAACCTCAAACCACAGACAATAGTTACAACACATAACTCACTTTAAATCCTCGGAACTCTCCCTGGATTTTACTCCACACTTTGTCGATCTCATTGCGGTCAAAATTCCACGTGAATATAGCAGTGTCTGCTTCTATGTTCTCTACACTGAGAGCTTCGGGCCAGACCTGTGGAGCTGTCACGAACGGGACAGATATACGTACATCTCTTATTAGAACAGGACTTGATGTTGAATCTCTTATCAGAAACTATAAACTTAAAATTCGCACATAAAGTTGATACGAGTATTTTCAGATCTTGTAAAATGTCAGTATTTCTTCTTTTTGTCCACGATATTCTGAGAATCATTTTATCGCATTTCAACTCAAAAGCCACTATTTTCTTTCGTAAGGACTCACAACCGTATGTTATGACAGTTACTGGTGCCATTGGAATTAGAACTCTTCGCTTGTTGCTGAAGATGGAGAAGGATCGCTTATGGGGGTGCCACGAGTGCTGTGATGTCGATTCTTAATTCAACATTAAATATTTGCATCCGTATGTTGCTACAAAAAAAGAAGCTTGCTCCCGAAAGTTTAATTTTGATTTCCTTTTGTGCGTGTGATTAACTATATATTTTTAACTCTGCTTCCTCTTATGGTGGCATGTAATGCATTTATATGTGTGTGTGTGGGTGTATGTGTATATATGTATATATAGATATGTGTGTGTGCGCGCGCGTGCAAGAATCATTCTTTTAAATGCATGCAGAATATATTTTAACATATTAACTCTGCAGAGATAAAACTAGTCAGATGTAAATTAACAACTGCTGTATATCACAGCAATGTTTCCCCGTTGTGGATTTTAGCAAAGAAGAGACAATCAACAGGCTGCCCAATTTACTGACTGGCAAACTTCGCTGTTTCTCGTCCAGTGCATACTACAATAACAGATGATTCAAATTGTTTTATATTTAATTAAATAAATAATCAAACCTAATTTTCTTCATTTGACGTTGCCAGTTCTAGTAAAGAACAGCACATGAAGTAGTTTCTATGTTGATTGCTTATGTCCAGTGGCGGCTCGTGCATAAGTGCTGTGGAATTGCAACATCTTCAGTTATAACTGGATATGCACTAGTAAAAATTATTGAACGAGCCGACCAGATGGCAAGTAATGCATCAATGCATACAGTGAGAAACATCAACATAGCTGATACCATCATCCCTGAACGGATGATCGTGGCGGATAATGGTGAATCTCTGTCAGTGACACGATTACGTGACCTGGGAGGAAATCTTGGCCTATGCTTCCAGACTAAGGCAGGAGGCACTATAACCAGCTTTTTAAGGTAAGAATCGGTAAAGGTACCTTGGAGTGAGATGCTGCCTGGGAGGACTGAGTACGCATGAGAATGCCCAATTTCAAGTGATGATGATTGCGATAAAATAATATAACACAACGTAACATAAATCGATGTTATCAATAACATTCAATGTTTCTTTTTCGAATATATTTGTATACGATGTCATCTTTAAGGTTAATGTCAATAGCCATACTCTAGCTCGTGAACAAAATACAATATCCTCATGGGGAACTGTAGATTTGACAGTTCCAACCACATGCTTTGGTTGTTGTGCACATATGTCTGACATAAAAAGATACACATAATATAGAGGAAGCATAGCCGCAAACGCAGTGCTGCTTGAATCTGTTTTATTATTATTTTCTAGCAGACTAAAACAAAAATTAGGTAGGTAGGTAGTTTTACCCCACCAGGACATCACACAAGCGACAAACAGCCGATGACATTAAGTGCCACCACGCGGATGAGGAACACTCGTGGAGAGGTCCACAAACCCCTTTCAGCAGCTAGGCCATATCTATGGTTTAGACCACATCTATGGCCCGGCTATATTCAGGGGCCCCGGCAGAAGCCAGGGCGGGGCTTCAAAAAACAAAATATTGCATCTCACATAGGGACCACTTTTGTAGGCAAAAAACAAAACAAACGGGTATCTTTTGGATCCAGCTTGATTTGTCACAGTTTAGACTATAAGTAATTAAAATTATTGTTTTTGTTTTGGATTGTTATTACATTTTCTTTTATGTTTTGCTTTACACAAAATTGAAACTATGACTAATAATTTTTTGAAACTGCTGCCACACAACTTGTATTTACAAGCAGCCACTGCCTATGTCATGCATTAACATTCACAAAGACTATTAAAAAAAAAACAGTAATAGATTACTTGATTCGTAAGAATGGCCAAAAATAGTGGAGGCTGGTTCTGCACTGTAGCCCACGGAGTTCAATGAGCTGATGGTGATGTTGTACCGTGAATAAGGAATTCCCTAGAAATATACATTGTCATTTGTTAGATGCCGTGAGTAATGTAAACCCTATGGGTCTTTTGCTCAATGTTCCATGAGCACTGTAAACAATAAACAGATTTACGCACATGAAGCGAATACGTAAATAAACAAACACGAGTATACACATTCAAATTTACGTTTACACATACACACACACCACACACACACAGCACACACACGTGTACGCAACACACACACTCGTGTATATTTAAGGTCATCGCAACGTACGTCATGCTGATCAGATATTACTGAAATGATTCAAACAATTTAATAATTTCTTGATCCCAGCATTTTCTTCTTGTTACTTATTACAACTGTGTCGATGTGCTCGATGCAGCTCTTCCTAATTATATAATCTACAATTCGTTCAGGCTTCTCCGATTTCTTTTGTATTTATTGTATTATTTATTTCTTTAGATATGTCTGTTTTCTTTATTACTTTGAAATCTTTATTCTCGAATTAAAATTTTCTTCTGACCATTGTGTCTATTATAGAAAGTAACTATTGGGTCTTGCTAATACGTTTTAATTAAAAGATTATGTATGTATGTATATATATATATATATATATATATATATATATATATATATATATATATATATATATATATATATATATATATATGCACATATCATAGAATTTTAAGGTGGCAAAATCCAACGAAAAAATGAGATTGAACAAAGGTGTTGACTAAACTCTACTTCACGCGTGGTTATTTTTTCTAGCAATCTTTATTTAGTTTAAATCACACACAAGAATGCCTTATAGTTCAAACTATCAATTGACGGGTGTTTTGCATCTAGGTCATCGATAGTTTTCTATGATATATCCTGACACAATATGTAATACTAACCCAACATATCTCAGAACAATAAATCTCCATAAAATACTTAACACTATCCCGACATACCTGGGAAGATATAAACTGAAATAACATTTAACAATATTCAACACTATTCCAACATACTTATCAGGGACATATCCCGTTACAGTATCCAGCCCTGTCCCAACATATCCAAGGACAATTACTGATACAAAATGTAACATGCCTAATAGTGAGCCGCCGTGGTCAAGTGGCTACACGGTTGCTTGCGAATCGGCAGGTCGTGGGTTCGGTTCCTGACGAAAGCCGGATATTTTTTTAATGACCTTGGCTCCCAGGTCGACCCAGCCTTGATTGGGTACCAGGTACAGTCCTGGGAAATAAGGGCGACCTAGTGATGCTGACTACATCACCAACCAGGTGCCATTTGGTCTATAAAATATAGATCTAGTCCTTTATATCCAATATGCATGAAAGGCGTTGTAAAGGGTCCTTTAGTTTACTTTTACTTTTAGCATACCCATAAAAGAGGTATATTAAGTAAAAGTAAAGATCCCTTTTCACGCCTTAGGCGTTTCGGGCATATGGGAAGAGCACCCACATTTTTACAGAAAAATCGGCACTTGGTGATTAGTGTGGTCATCATTACGCCTGCCGTCTTTACTTCCCTGGGACATACATATGAAGGAGGTATTCTTATACAATATTCAACACTTTTCCAACATAATTAGGAAGATTATTTAATGATACGATATTAAACACTATACAACATACCGAGGCAGAATATAGAAACTCTGAGACTCGCCAATCAGTGATGGGCTGCGGCTGTATGGCGCTTGCAGGAGATCCCATCTCTCGTAGAGTCAGAACGTAGCTGAAGTTCTTGCCTCCTTGGTTTTCAGGTGGCACAGGCTAAGAAAGAATTAATACTGCTATGCTAACTGGGTGTTTATTTAGCATAATGGGATGAAGTATGCACATACTATTTTGACGGAAAATTAATTATCATCATTATTATCATCGTCACCATCATCATCAATATCATCGCGAGCCATGTAGGCCGTCGTTTGCACCATCCTACACAATTACCAGAATCACGCATCGAATCAGTTTTCCTGTGTCACCCCACCCAAATGGCTAGGCCATACAGAAATTTATATCTTTTCCCTCAGCTTCCTCTCTTTCCATCAATCTTTCTAGTCGTTACCAAGTTTTCGAGTCGATTACTTTTCAAAGCACGTCCTAAAGACACCGACTGTCTAATGTTTCTAATGATTCTACGACTTACCCGTGTCTCGGTCGGCTCTGTGGCTGAGACGATGCGAACGCTTTGTAATGCCGGGATGCCGGGTTCGATCCCAGCTGCGGGCCATGTGCCTTGCGTTGGTTTCTACAGTGGTATCAAGAAAGCCGACCGTCCAGTAGAAATGGCAAACTACTGGACGTAATTTACCTAGAAAAACCACATAACAGCCAGGGGATGTTGGGGTTGGTTCTGCAACGTCCTGTAAAGGATACGCAACTAACATAACCCGTGTCTCAAAGAGGGCTGTCTCGTTTATATCACTATACAATATTCTTTGTCATCTTCCCAGTGGACCACATTTCCGCTACGAATAAATATTTGTTAGACTGGGGACGGGTGTTCGGTGAGGATGATGGGGTTAAGTGGTGAGGAGGGGAAGGGCATCTGACGGTTGTGGGTTCATCTCATAAACATGGTCGTTCGGTTCACGCGGGCAACTTTTACCAAGATCCCTGCTGTGTTTTCTGTGAGGCTTTCGGCGCCATTTAAGGTCAAATAGATACAATGAAGTTAAACATCTTTGCTTCAGACTTCATTCATAGTAAAGAAACACTTCAACTTTAACTCCAAATAATACTGCATTAGGATAAAAAGCAAATCGAATTGTCTTTTTATCTTTGTTAACCCCATCTCGGGGACTTCAAGATTTCATGGGATAGTCTGTGTACATTTCAACCCTAAGACCACTATTTTACTGGGCTTTCCCGGACGCTCCCCAAGAAATCTCGAATTTCCCGAGACGGGGTGAAATAATAGAAAAGAACCAATCACATTATACGTCTACGGCTATCCTCCAAAATACGGCCACATATTATGGCGGCCAAAAAGACACCATGACAGAGCCTCAGTCACATGTAAATTGCGCACTTCCGGCGACTTTAAATGCAGACCGGCGACTATACGGCGACCGCCGTGAGTATCTTCGCATCTCCTGCAGCTTTGCTTGTGAGTCCCATCAATCTAGTATAGTGGGAGATTCACTCGGTGGTTGCGGTATAGTCGCCGGAAGTTCGCAATTTACATGTGACTGAGGCCCTGTTTTTTGTTGCCATAAAATGTGTCCGTTATTCGGAGGATAGCCTAAGTCTACATATTAGCATTTAAACCAATATACAAGCATATAAATGCAACTTATAATTGAGTTTTGCATAGTCTTACCGTCCATACAATGTGCAACATTCCGATTTTATCGCCGATGGTTCTCAAATTGCGTGGATTCTGTGTCGGTGTGCTTGGCGTTGTAGAACAAGTTGTGTTGGATGGAATGCTGGGATTACTGGCTCCAATTTTGTTATAGGCAGTTACCCTGTATGTGAAAGTGACACGCTCTTACTGAACAGTTGTGGGGCGTTAAAAGTTTGTTCTGTTCTAAAGTAATCATTTTTGTAGTTTTATTGCATATTAAATGTCTGGCCTGTCATGCTTGTTTAGATGTGAACTGATAACGTTTTATTCTGGTATTATATACACATATTATATGAGAATGAATCTATGATCATAACTTATGATGAAACACACACCGCTCCAGTCTAAACATGTGACGACTGAAGGGTTTCTGTTCTGAAGAGAGAAAAAAAGTTTCCTTCACAGGACGTTGCAGAACCAACCTCTGCATTTTTTGGCTCTTGTGGTTTTCTAGGAAAATTGTCTGTTAAATAAAGAGTATGGAGAAACTAACATTATTTCAAGTTACAGCAACTGACGACAGGAAATGCTTCACAAATTTCTATTGCAAAATGTTGGTGTAACTGCCAAGGTGTTACATTATTTTTACTGCTAACTGTTATATTGTTAGTTATAGTTAAGTTAATTAATTGATAGATTATCCTCACTGAACATAGTACAAATCCATACAGGCTTGGATCTCATCTTCAGTATATTCCTCAGCGTGTGGCGACCGATCACACCAGTTCTATGTTGGTTTATACTTTTCTTCTTTGGCTACATGTATATACATAACATAACATAACCCCTTACCCGTTAGAGTCGCGGAGACGTATTGATGGAGCAATAAAACCCGCCATCTTTCTCTGTCTTCCGCTTGATGAATAAGTGTATGATAACTTAGTCCTGTCCATTTTTTGGTATTGTCATTCCAGGTTCTTCTTTGCCCTCCTCTTCTTTGACGCCCCCCCCCCCAGCCCCCCTCCCCCACCCCCTCCCCCAATGTTCCTTGAAGTATAGTCTTTGCAATCGAATCATGTTTCACCACATGCCCAAACCAAGATAGCTTGCCACGTTTAACTACTGCCAAGAGAGGCTCCTGATGTCCCGCTAATTTGTATATTTTGTCTGTGACATATTTATTAGTTTGTGTTCTAAATAACTAATTCGTAAAATGCGTCTGTAGCCTTTACATTCGAAAGCGTGAATACTCTTTTCCATTTCCACAGTAACAGTCTAACTCTCGAATCCGTAGAAGAAAATAGACAATACCAGTGATTTGTAAATATTGATTTTGACTGCGACGCCGAATTTTACTCTTCCAAATTGTATTCACTTGCGACATCGCGGTTATTGCCATATCAAATCTTGTCTTGATCTCTCTGGTACAAGAGCCAAGGTGTTTAAAGGTTTCAACTTCTGTTTTTTCCTCTTCTATCTGTATGTTGGTAGGTACTTGATTTTTGTGATTATTTACCAAAAAAACCTGCTTTTATCGGCATTAATTTCCATGCCATATTTACCACAGACTGTCCCTAATTTTGTCTTAAGTTCTTGGAGTTCTGTTTCGGATCCAGGGATAAGACCTATTTCGTCTACACAAAGTAAATTACATAGTTGTCTTCCGCCAATGGATACAGCTGTTTTATGATTTTCTAGTGTTTCGTGGCTACATGTATAGTGTGTTACCTTGAGGAGTAGTGATAAACCGTACATAATAACACCGATACATGGTCTATACACATCTATATACAATACTGCCTAGACTTTACGCTAGGGAAAGAAGGAAAGGAGGACAGTATTTCTGGTCTTAACTGCTAATCGCAATGGACTCATTCCCATGCCTCCCTATTGCAGAATGTAACACTATCGACTGGAAGGACGGAAAGGTACCAACAACAACAGTACACTAACATTTGAACAAACGTATGTTATAAAATATAAGTTAAAATGTTTTTCACATACTGATTCTGACTGCATGGATTAGAGATCGACCGAAATAATAACTAATAAACCTTGTTAACTGGTTAACTAGCGCCTGCGTTCATTAGAAAGACAAAAATATTATAGAACCACTGTGTGGAGATAAGGAGAGAGCCAAACAAATTTCTGCTCATATAAAGGTGAAAGTGGGGAAGACGTTGTCGCTAGAATACACACGGAAAACCTTATTATTTTATGCTGAATACGTCTTTTCTTTAAATATCAGATAAGAACCTACAAGATTTGGATGGAGATAATAATTAAAGAAATATATTTATATACTGAGAGCATGGAGCGAATTGAGCAGCAATAGAGGAATGTCTGCCGCAACGTATGTAATATAAACCATTACAGTGAAAATTGTCGTTTGTATAGTTTTCATTAATAAAGATGGATAGCAAACACAACAAACAGAGAAACCTACTTGCTGTGATTTTTATTGATGGTCAGGCTCTAGTAAGAAATAAAGAGCAGTAGAAAATCACACCCCAACTTCAGCACAAGGTGAGGGATTCCCTTTTGGTTGTAAAAATACTTCCTTATTAAGAACACCTATTTGTCATTGCAAGTGCATCTGTAGTTGTCTGTGAGAAAATGTAACTTACCTAAAAACATAATCCATCCCGGCAGCTAGGGAAATCAGAGCAGTGTCTTTTCTGTAATCTACTTGCGTGGCGAAAACCCAGCGATTTGGGTCAACTTTTGCCATATATTCTGAAAAATAGAATTGGCTGTTTTTTCGGGGATGCACACACACGCAACACCCACCCAAATATAGTAGTATTATCTGTGCCCTTAACGTCAACAAAATCGCGCTGCTCTTCTCCAATTTCTGGTTTAATACTGCACCTTATTATTCTTGGTTTTTGTATAACAAAGAAAGTCAATGAGACTTTAAAAAAAAAAATAGATTTTATACTGTGTCACACATTGACCTTTTATTGTAACTAATGAGCGAAAAACAAAAAGTGTCATAAAAGATCTGATGAGGTAACAAGACAAAAAATAAAAATAAAAATTAGGAAAATGGAAGGCATGCCAAAACCAGTCGCACAGTTCATACAGATGAGACAGTTTGACCATCTGACGAGAATGCCCATGTACCAACTGCCGCAGACAGCCACGCTGAAAAAATATGAACACAGAGCAAGGACATCATTATCATCATCATCATCATAATCATCATCATCATCCCGTAACACTTCTTGTCGTTGAGTCACCAGTTTCTGTTGACTGTCTGATCAGCTCTCTCCACCTTTGGCGGTCAGTTGCGATGGACTTCATGGTTGCATGCCTGAAGCCTGTTCAGTCAGTCAGGTTCTGTAACCAGGTCTTTCTTGGTCTGTCCCTTCTCCTCTTTCCCTCTACTAAGCCCTGCAGTAATGTTTTTGAGAGGCCGTTAGATCTTGTTACATGTAAGGGCAACTGTCGAAAATATGGAACCATGGCATCAAGAATAGCCTTGTAGAAATAAAGATAACCGTTTCTTATGTTAAAAGAAATAGCGCCCAGATGCCCCTTACATTCCACTGCACACTTGGATGAGGTAATGGGATGAAGAGAAGAACTTCCACGTGTGACTCCCGGGGTTCAATTGTTGGGGAGGTGGAAAGAATAGACCCACTGCCCCCTAACAAGCATGTCGTATAAGTCGACATTAGACACGAAGAAGAAAACGATGAAGAAGAAGAGAACGACGAAGAAGAAGACGATAAAGAAGAAGGAAAAGTGAAGAAGAAGAATGAGAAGAAAAAATGAAGAAGAAGATTATCAGTTTGAAAAAAGAATTTAGTAGATGAATAAAACTTTTACAAATGGTTAAGAATAACTGTGAACGAGTATAGTAACTTTCCAATTAGGCCTATAGCTTACCAATCAAGAAATACTCAATGGGCGCGTTGTTGAAACTCCCAGCTATCCATTCGACCTGGGCTTTGCCGTTTCTTCTGCATTCTTCTCTGACCTTGACGTCATAAGGAGCATCAGGAACATCTGTTTAAGAGTGAAAGAGCATTATTAAATAACATTGTACTTGAGCATTTCAATTTCAGGAACGTGATATTTCAAGTGTCATCACGTACACTAAAAACGTTTCTTTCTACAATCCAAGCTCTGTGGCGTTAGAGATCGTTCGACAGCCCTCTTTCTGGGGAAATGTTAGTGAATTTTGATTTAGATTGTTTCCCATGCCATGATAACAAACGTCTATCTGTTCGTCTTCCCTGCCAATTTTTCCTTGCCAACTTTCCTGTTGGCAAGGAAAGCAGGAAGCAGGACTGCTTTCTAGTCGGCCTCTTTACATAACGTATCCGGAAAAAACATTTACTCTCCTCTCAGAAACGCCGACGGTTATAATCATTTAAGGCAAAAGAAGATACAAAATTGTCATTTGTTGCGTTTTAACTAAGTATGGAGTCACAGGGTTACATAATTAGCATGTAATAGTCACGGGTTCATTGTTAGTAGCGGCAGATTTAATCCAGTCGTCTCCTTGTGAGATGCAAATTTTCGTTATTTGAAGCCCTACTCTGGCTCTTGCCAGGGGCCGCAATATAGCCCGGCCATAAATATGGCCTAATGGCTGAACGCGGTTTCTATGACCTCTCCACGGGTCATCCTCATTCACATGGTGGCACATTGCGTCATCGTGTGTCTATCGTTTATGGGATGTTCTGGTGGGATGAAAGAAGATAGAGAGATAGAAAGCGACAGATTTTCATAAACATATTGCTGGAAGTCCATATTTTAGTTAATGAAAGACTTTTAACGTTAATTATATGTCCTTTTGGAGACATCGTAAATAAACCCAAGACTGTTTTGTCTGTTGGTTAGCTTAAGCAGTTTTACTTTTAGTATTTCATCATGAATAAAGCACATCCACCAGAGTTGAAAAAAAATACATGGAAAAGGTTTTCACGTTAAAGCACAATGGTAACCGTAAGGTGACAGGCACCCTACGTAGATTTGATCCATTCAAGAACCTTGCTGTAGATGACTCAGTTGAAGTGACCAAAACTGGAGAAAAGAGGAATATAGGCATGGTGGGTATCCGTGGCAACAGTGTAGTTCTTCTGGAGTCGCAGGAACGAGTTTGAATGAAATCATCACTCATAATCTAATTTCATATTTTTTTCTGTTCATAACTTTCTTGCACACTTGATTTTCATTGCTGATAGTTATGATTTGGTATGAATACAGTTATGAGTACTTTGTAATGGTAAGGTCTAAGATGTGTAGTATTTCAATTAACAGTGCAAAAGCACACTTGTAGTTCCATTTTTTTTTTTTTTTTTTCACACCACGTGTTGTTGAAGATAATAAAAGTGTTATTACTTTAAAAAATAAAAACATTAAAATGCTCATTGAACGGCATGAGGTCTCATTATCTTTTTCAAGATAAATGCTACCAAATAGTCTTCGGCTGATTTCAAACCCTGCATTTTACGTGGTTGAAATGTACGTTCACAATCCATAAGCCACGGGCGCCGACTAAACTAGAATAGGCAACATTCAAGGAAACAATGTCTTCTCGGCAGTCTTTGATGCCATATAATAAATACTGTAATAATGCGAGGAATGACCAGTGGATCTGGCCGAGGATCAACAATTAAGGGAAATGTGAGACGGATATACAGACATACTAGCATTACTGTCCAATCAGAATTTGAATTCTGCGCTTGCTGCTGAAGATGGGGAAGGAGAGCTTATGGGAACGCCTCGAGTACTATGATGTCGATTTTTAATTATATTTTAAATACTGTAAGACACAAGGGACAACAGATATGTGGACATATGTGTGTTGTGATCACCGGGAGTCATGATGCGGGGAAAACATTAGAGATGGTTGGGAGAAAGGAGAGGCCCTCAGCCTGTTAAAAGTTTTTTGGCGAGAGGGGTCTGAAAGGCATAGTCATGTTTAAGTATGCACTAATAATAATGGTGTGCTAAATTACAAATAAAAATACAGGGTGTGGAGGGGAGGCAAAAAAAAGTGGGGGTGGGGGGGGGGGGGGGCTTGCATCGTTACTAATATCATGTGATGTGGGAACAGGACCTAATGAGTTCCTCATAAAATGTTTCTTGATATATGAGCTCTGTTGGCCTACGCCCTAAGGTTCCAGTGCCTCCTAGCGACCACGTCAGTTGGTATACACACCTGTTCATCATCGCGACCGGGTCGCCTATTTGTTCGTCGGTAGACGACTTCGTTGCCGGTAGGGACAGCACTTAGTTCTGTCTCCTTTGATCGCATCAACACTTCAGGAGTCTTTTTCGTGGCTCTTGGTGGCGCACAGTGCTAAGCTATTTGATATGGCGCACATAACCTAGTCACAATTATAACCTAAAGCTCCCCGTTCGGGGATGCTTGCCGAAAATGACGATTTTCTTTTTTGGAGCAAAGCAAGCAAGCAAACACACCTGTGACCACAAGTCGGGCGGAAGCTGTGTCATTGTCAAGGCCGTTGCTGACAACACATGTGTAGGTTCCCGAGTCCCTCTGTTCTGTTCCACTGATGGTGAGAGAGTGATCCTGTGATTATAAGAAACTTGTTGAGCAAAATATGTAGCCAAAGTAGAGAGATAGAAGTTTATTCGAGTGCAATGGCAGCCTTCTATATTTTTACGAGTTTAATAATGGGACTGACCTTGGCTTAGAGGTTGCCAGTGCGATTCGTAATTACAACGTTGCAGGCTGCGTAGATTTTTGTCATGGTATGGGGTGTCGCAGGTCGATCTAGCCTAAAATGGGTACCAGGATGTATGTCCTAGGAAAGTAATGACGGTCGGCATAATTCTGGCCACATTACCCACCCAGTGCGGAGTGGTCCGTAAAAATATGGGTGCTTTTCCCATATACCCGATGAGCCTAAAGGCGTGAAACTAGGGTAAGATAAATTAATGGGGACTGTATTTATATTCATCTGTGATATTTTTATTTAAAGCACATTATTTGAGAACTATGCCTTCAGATCGTTCCCATACTTTTTCTGCTTCTGCCTTCTATCCACAAATGGAACAAAGGCCCTCCAACAACTCAAGCCAAGTCGTTTTATCCTTCACCATTCCATGCAGCTGACCCCATGTCCTCCCCCCCCCCTCTTTGTAAATTCACTCTCTAGCTCTCTTCCTCATCTCTGTGTGTATGTATGTGTGTGTATGTATGTGTGTGTATGTGTGTGTGTGTGTGTATGTGTGTGTGTGTGTGGTCTGCCTTTATTTCTTCGCCACTGTAGATTCCGGTACATCAACATTCTATTTATATTGTTCTCAGGTTTTCTCAATGTGTGTCCTATCCAACGCCAATGAATGGAATACTGCTGGAACCACAATTCTGTTCCCATTAACCGAGTGTTTGTCTTAAGCAAATTCGGGTTAAAGAGTTTTCCTGTAATTGTAAGCGTTGGCGCTTGTATACATTTTAAAGGTTTATAAACTTTAAGCGTTAATGACAATATAATAGTCATGTTTTTCATTCGAGCTATGAGTTATGCGTTGGTTTATCTTGATGGTACACTGGACACATCCACAGGTGCCCACATTCCATCCTCATCATCATCAGCATCATGTAGCAGAACGTCTCTATTATCATGGTCTGCCTGAAAGAAACTCGGTCTCTCGCCGACTCTCCCGCCTCGTGTTCTTTAATATTCAAAGAGTCACCTATTTCCTGTGCTCGATCTGTGTCGGCTCTTGCACCTCATTTCTGGTACCATGCCTTCTTCTATTAGTTTTTCCAATCCGCCATGGCGCTTGATATGACCAAAATATTTCAGCTTCCGAGACAAAATGCTATTTATTAGCCAATCTTCTTTTATGTTCAATTTTTTTAGAATGTACTGAGAATCGTTATATATCATTTAAGTTTAAAAGCCCATATTTTCGTCCCATTTTCGGATAATCTTCGGTTATCGCTCTGCTATTTAGTTGAAATTCTTAGAAATGGACCAGTTGTTCAAATCGTGTGAATCTTTGATAGTTTTCTACAAAGAGTCGGTTAATGTAACAATTGAACCACCACAAAGAATTCAGAAAAGATAATTCATTTCAGTAAACATCAGAATGGTAGGATACGCTATAGTAAACTAAGAGATTTAAATATACTTTATTTCTTCTTTCACCCCCCCCCTCCCTCCCACCCCCTCCCAATCTCCTCAAACGACCCAACTCCCTTACGGTTGAAGAACAATCAATTAACCGGGTTGTAACCAGTAGGGCTTGAAATATCTTGCTTAGGGCTGCTTTACTACAATGGTGTGTCAGTACTCTCCATAAAGTGCCTAAAAGCACCCTACTACTCTTTGCAGTATCTACTATAATGGATCTAAAAACACCTTGGTACTCACTGCAGTATCTACTACAACGTGCGGCCCTAAAAGGTGACAGTACTGTGCACCGTTGCGCGCCGCCATAAATATAGCACTGGTCTTGCTCGACATGGGTATATAATCGGTGTTAACTTCTTGAATGGCACCCTTACTATAATATAATGGTGTTTTTTTTCGGGTAGGGTGGGGGAGGGGGGGGGGGGGGGGTCTCGATGTCTAAGGCTCTATGTCAGACTGCTTTACAACGCTCTTTCCTTATCTCGAAGAAGTCTACGAGATTCACACAACGGACGTGAATGGCAGCTACAACCATGAAGAAGCTCTGCTTGATGCCGAATGCATATCAACACACATCGTTATCTACTTGAGTGATAAATGTATGCAACAAAGAATGCAACCAATGGTATGTATGTATGTATGTATGTATTAATATTACAACGTGTGTGTGTGTGTGTGTGTGTGTGTGTGTGTGTGTGAGACAGCATAAGAACCCAAGGCAGTAACGTGCATCTTAGAATAAACAACACTAGGCAACTGCATGAAGATCACATTCTAATTTCACAGGCAAGTCCACGTCAATTTTTATTATAAACCTTGATGGAATCAACCTACAAGCACCTAGTTTCTGGCTACTCTTAGGAATCTCGATCCCTGAAGAGATTCGACTGTCAAAAAGTTGCAAGCAATATATATATATATATATATATATATATATATATATATATATATATATATATATATATATATATATATTAAACCTGTATATTTGAGAACATTCTGGTTCCTAGATCGACCGGTGAAGTGTCTTTCAGCCAGGATGTAACCATGTGAAGTGTTTCTTCAGGATCCGTTGTTCCAGAGCAGGTAAATTTAGCGTTCACGCCTCGTTGAACCTAGTTAAAAGTGAAAGATACCAGTAATGTGGCTGTGAATATGTAAACAAAACAAATCGCTGAGATAATATCATCATCAACATCATCATCATCTTCATAATCATCGTTAATTTCCACCTTTGCTGTTAAATGGTGTGGGGACGAACCATTTTTTCATCTATGGCTAGATGGGCAGCAATGGGTATTGTCATTTCGTGTCAATGTCAACAATCATCCCCCCTCTCCTAGGGCGACCTCCTCGCTTTCACGTCAGATCTTTTCATGACTAGTCGTTCTGGCTGCATTTATTATAGATTACCAAACCATTAGATCTTTGTTTCTCAATGAATTCGCTGAATGGTGTTGTCCCCACAGTCTGTCTAATAACATAAATTTCAGCTGTGTCTCGGATAGGTCAGTTGGCGGCTTTTTTGTATGCATGTAATTTCACAGGTGTTAATTTTACAGTCGGCTCTGTGGCTAAGTCGATGCGAACATTTCGCTTCGTAATGCCGGGATGCCAGGTTCGATCCCAGCTGCGGGCAATGCGCCTTGCGTTGGTTTCGACAGTGGTATCAAAAAAGCCGACCGTCCAGAAAGCAATGGCAAACTACTGGACGTAAATTTGCCTAGAGAAACCACACAACAGCCAGGGGCTGTTAGGGTTGGTTCTGCAACGTCCTCTAGAGGATACGCAACAACCTTTTTAATGTTACAATATAATAGCGGAAGTTATTTGCTTGTTTTGTGGTCAACTTATAGAGACAGTTGATTACAGTATTTAACAAGAGCATGCGCTAGAACGAGCACTCGAACTCACCACCTATGCTGGCAGCTAATCATTATGTTTATTTACAAGTTCTTTGCTAGCTAGAGTGACTATGTCTGTTGACTAAAATCACACTGCTTATAAATGCATGTGCTAACAAGGGCTACAAATAAAGTATGTATGCTCGTATGTGTGTCAGTTGTACCCCACCAGGACATCACACCAGCGATAAACACACGGTAACACAATGTGCCACTATGTGGATGAGGATCTCCCATAGAAGGGTTCTGGAAACCCCATTCAGCCGTTAGGCAATATTTCAGGCCCGGCTATATTTAGGGCCACTGGCAAAAGCCAGGGTGCGGCTTCAAAATAACTAAAAATTGCATCCCACATGGGGATGAGGAGATTATATATATAATAATAATAATTACAGTCAGTTTTGCCTCTAGAGTAATTGGCTTCATCTAAAGGACATTTAGCAGAGCAGAAGAAAATACATGGTTTGATAGAGTCACTAATGTGGGGCTTTGTGGAAGAACTAGACAAATTCCATTGAATCAAGAGGTGAATAGGACTGGCGTTGGATAGAACTCACTTTGATAATACAACTATGCAGCTAAAATGTCTTTAAAGGGTCATGAAAGTAAAGGGATGTTGAATGTTGAATTAAGAATCGACATCACAGCACTCGGTACACTCACATAAGTGGTCCTTTCTCATCCTCAGCAGCATGCGTAGAGCTCCAGTTCCGATGGCGCCAGTAACTGTTTCTATATCCGTCTCATCCTTCCACTGAGTGTTGCGCATCAGCCAGATCCCCTGGTAACTTCTCGCAGCCTCACTCTCTTCAGGCCGTAATAATCTATCTGCGCCTCCGCACTGTTCACTCGTTCCAAAATGGCTCCCACAATATCTTGTTTGTCATACATCAGTTCACCACCAAGTAGTGCAGAGCCGGCTAGTCTATTTGCCTGCTCATTTCCCAACACAGCGGCACAACCTAGAGAAAATATCCAAAGAATGCTAACTACCCGGGACCTCCGAAGTGATGCCCGCCACTCTGCACGAAGCATGCCTATCTTCACCTTTCTCAACATGCTCTATAAATTAGTTACAATTTCTGCATGTGTGATAACCTGATTCTCAAGCAAGCGAGAGGCAGCAGAGACTGCCTCCACCTCCATTCTCAAACTAGACTTTGTAGTTTAAAAAAAAAGGAAAAGAATACACATAGAATGTAGCTAGAGTATGAAGCTTAAAAAAAAGGGGTGGGGTGGATGTCTATGGGCAAGCTGCATGCGATAACAACATATAAGAATACTAGCGTAAGCTGGTTGAGAATAGGTTCTGTACTCGGATTTGAGAAGGAGAGTGGGGGAAATAAAGAGCAGAAGATTAAGAGAAAAACAAACATATCCTCTCATTTATTTATATACCTTAAACACTTTTAAGTTCACCTTACCTCTAGATCCATTGGTTTCCACTCAATGACAGTTTTCCGCCTGACGATAAGCCTAGCAGAGGCACCCTCACGGCCGAACACATTGTAAGCCTCACATCGATATTCTCCAGCGTCAGAAAGGACAGCCATCTGTAGAGCGAGCAGAATATAAGCACCGTAGAGACAATGAGAACGTATGTATATTTTTGGTTTTGAATGTAATACGAAAGGAAATAGGGAACATACAGTGGGTAATTAATTGTAGATATTAGTTATATGGCTTCACAATTTAAAAAAAAAAGATATACATATTTCGCTGCGTTCTGTCAGATGCAAACTAAAGTAACAAATTCAATTAGAAGGATTTATTATTTTTGTTACTATTATTAATATATTGCTTGATTGAATTCACTGGCTCCTGTTGTACTCCCCGGATGTGTAATGTTGAACAGATGTTACAAGTAAATTCAAGTCTTTTTTTCCTGTACCTCAAATCACTTTGATGTTTCACCGGTTACACTGACAGCTGCTTATTGTTACTGATAGTCTGCTTTGTTTAGTTCGATCTAATGTTTAACAGAGCAGTTTTAACAGTTTAAAGGAAACTTCAATCACAAGACCTATAAATAATACTAAGAGAATAGATACCTTTACAGTAAGACTGCCAGAGTCGCTAATCTCGTATCTTCCTCCTGTCACCTGCTCGTCATTTCTGAACCAAGTGATGACTGGGTCCGGTTTCCCTGTTATGTGGCATACCATAACAAATGGTTGGCCTTCTGCAACTACTGAATCTTTAGGGCGCTCCAGGATAGTCGGGGCCTCAGCTGGAGAGGATAGATATACATATATTTAGGGCTTCGAATCGGAGGGTTGATATTTCTTTAATAATTAAATAGGACACTGCAAATGTTGGTATGTAAACACTTAAAGTTTAATAATTTCAAAATGATGATGAAATTACAGCATTCTTCTGGGGTTTATAGTTGTATTAAAAACTTTGATGAATTATAGACCATAGCAGTGGATGCAAACGAAACATAAATATATAAGCCGTGTTCGTAACATATAAACATTGTAGCAAAGAAATAAGATCTAAGCTTAAAGCAGAAAATACTGCACTGGAAAATGCATGAATCATTCAAGTAATGCAGAAATTAATCAAGTAATGCATGAGTGAATTAATTAATGCACTAATCAATCAAGTAATGCATGAATCAATCAAGTAATGCATGAATCAATCGAGTAATGCACGAATCAATCAAGTAATGCACGAATCAATCAAGTGATGCATGAATCAATCAAGTAATGCACGAATCAATCAAGTAATGCACGAATCAATCAAGTAATGCATGAATCAATCAAGTAATGCACGAATCAATCAAGTAATGCATGAATTAATAAAGTAATGCACGAATCAATCAAGTATTGCATGAATCAATCAAAAAACAAGAACCGGTATTACTGCACTCTGGACATTTCCACACGTGCTCTGTCTTCTCCTTTAGCAGCGAAAACTAGTTATCATTCGATGGTGGCAGTAGCTCCTGATTGGCTTTCTACCTCAGCGTTGCAACTGTCCATGCCTTCTGTTCACTTCCCACTAAGTAAATCTGTACAGATATGGATACTCTGTCATGATGCAGTATCCACTTGATCCACGATCGACCTAGCGAGTATTATCACAAAAAGAAGACTGTTTTTTGCGTCTTTTTCTCCACTGTCCAGAAGAAAACCATTTATGTAAAGACATTCAGTAGGTTCTATTGAATCTAGAGAACCCAGAGCGAACTAGGAATCACCTTAGCGAGACCACAGACCTAACAGGCAACTATTACAATTCTAGTGAAAGCAGGTAGGGGTTTCCGAGAAACTGTAACCCATTTAATCGAGATTTGGATGGCACAGCGGTTAAGCTGTTTACCTAGCGTTTGGAAAGTTTGGTTCGTTTTCAAACTTTATGGTATGATACCGCTACCTAGCTGTAAACCACAACACACGCGCAGACCGCTCTTCTGATAGTGAAATCAGAAAAACAAGAATGTTTCAATGTTAACGGAATAATGACTGTATTTTATTACTATCTTTAGTGTTAACACAATCATGAGTTATTCTATCCCTCTGCATTTGATTCAAAAACAATAAAAGGATAATAAATAATAATTGTTCTGAAAACTCGAATTTCAGCGCATACTCACAGAGAACATTGAGGAAGGCCTCTCCCCACTCGTGGCCTTGATTATTTGTGACGTTACACTGAAAAACCATAGTGTCCTGTTTAGTCACCTTCTGTAGCACTATCAGGTCTTCTTTCAAATGGTGAAACCTATAGTCGAGTCGTTTGTCGCTCTGTAAGGCACCTGGTTAAAGTAAGCATGAGAAATTATATTCAACTGTAATTTCACAATGCTTTTACTGTACACATATAAAACATTTTCTCCTCCTAGAACCACGACTTATGAGACTTATGACCATTGGCACTTATTGCAATAAAGAAATTTTAAAAAAAGTAAAGAAAATATAGCTACATTGGTTGGGTCAAAACGTTTCTGGAACTGATGCAATGGAATGTAAAGTATGTATTTAGGGCAGTAATGTAGATAAAGATGGGGAAACTGATCGAGAAATTAAAATACGAATACAAAAGTCCAGAGGAGCTTTCATAGTACCATGGGATTTGTGGGGGTAAAAGGAAATTAAATAGTAAGCTTAACATTTGTAATTTTAATGTCAAATCAGTACTGTTGTATGAAGCGGAAACATGGAGAACAACTTAAACAATTACTAATCAACTGCAAACATTCATTAACTGGCGCCTGTGCAGAATAGAGGGAAATTAAATGGTGTGATAGAATCACTAATGTAGAGATTTTGGAGAGAACTAAACAAGTACCAGTGAACCAAGAGGTGAAGAAAGACTCCGGTGTTGGATAGGACATACATTGATAAAACCGGGGCAACAACATAACTGTCTTTGCAATAGACCCACAGGAGAGTAGGAATAAAGGGTGGCCAAAAACACAGGGATAATAGAAAACTTTCTTTTTAGGGAAACAAAATATTCAACATTATTTAAAAAAAAAAAAAAAAACCGTAAAGAAAAATGCATAACTTCTTCTTCCTCTCTAACCCTGTTCTGTTCTTCAGCTCAGAAAAAAAAAAAAAAAAAACTTAGAAAACAAATGCAGAAATATTCATGAATTCACATTAATATCTATACGTTTGAAATACCTTCGAAATACAATGGGCATAATGGAATGTGACGCCAAACTCAGGGAAAATTGAATTCTACTACAATGATAAACAATGAGGAACATTTATGCGATGTGCACTGGCACAGCAACGGGACAATTATAGACCGACCCGTCTGCAGTAAAGTTGAGACGTCAACTAGCCCACGAAAGCCGTTTCAGTGCAATAAAGAAAGCAAGAACAGCATTGCACATTAACTGGGGTAACATAGTGTTTTAACAAAGTAACATGGAAAATGGCAATTAAACCTTGGTGCTTTCTGTTTTCACAAACAACAATACAAAACGTGGTAAGTATAAAACAGTCCCCCACTACTATACAATCAACAGTCACTTACTCTCCAAAGGTTCTCCATTCACAAACCAAAACACTTGAGGTTTGGGGACACCAACTGCGGCACACTCAAACTCTGCGGTACCGTTCTCACCAATGACCACATTAACTGGCTTTGATTTCCAGATAGGAGGAGCTGGAGGAGATATATTTAAAAAAAAAATACTTGGGCGTTCAGGCTACAAACCAACATCATCAAACAGTTGCAAGAAGCAAGTGCCAGCAATACAAAGCGCAGACCTGCTTGATAATTAGGTAATCACATTAAGGTTTAAGGACATAATATTACAGATCAAACTGAAAAAAAATATCCAGCAAAATGAAATATGTGTTACTTATCTCAGCAAATTTATGGGCGTGCGTGCGCGTACATATACACTCACACAATACACAAACACACACTCTTCTTCTTCTTCTTGTTCTTTTTCTGGTTCTTCGTCATGTTCTTCTTGTTCTTGTTCTTCTTTATTTTCTTCTCTGTCTTCTTCTTCTTCTAATTCATGTTCACCAGCTGTAAACTCCGACGGGACAATTCTGGTTAGTCGTCCACTTCTGGACTTTGGTTCTGTTCCATGACTTGAGTTTAACACGCACATCAATTCTACATATCAGACTTGTGCAGACTGTTCCTTTTCTCTCAGGAAGATGTACTCTTAACTTCGAAGGAAACGCCCTTATTAAATCACTTGTTGCCACATTCTTGTAAGGGGGCAGTGAGTCTACCCTCCACCTCCCCCCACCCTTCCAAAAAAGCGCTCTGGAAACCACACCGTCAATGTGTCTGTGTGTGGGTCGTGGGGGTGGGGGGGGGGGGGGGGCTGAGTGGTCTCGAGGTATAGTGTCCGCCTCGAATGCTGGAGGTTCCGGGTTAAGGCTGCAGTGAAGGCTGTTTTTTTTTTTTTTTTCCATGTAAAATTCTAGTAATTTCCCCTGGTAACTGGGTATTAAGACTGGATGCTTGCGTGTATTCTAGCACACGTAAGAAAAAAAAAAATCACTTGGCCGTTGGAAAATAAAAAAAAAAAGTAGCCTGTCGGCACTGCATGGGTAAAATTGTCAGTTAAAAATCTACCCAAAGTAATACAGGATCCTAGCCGGTGCAACATAGTTCGTTCACTGCGTTGAGATTCTTCAGACTAAGGCTTGAGTTAGAAGTAGAACGAAACACTTTTGGGCTATACCCTTGTTGATCCTCTTAAAAAACATGAAAGCTCGTAAGCGCACATTTGAAATCATGTTGATACTTATTACATTAATTGACATTTAAATACAGTTTTAATGTTCCCCGTGTGGGTTCTAGGGCCCTTGTATAGGGAAAACAAGAAAAGACCCACTGCCTAGACAAAAACACATCGTAATCGTCGACTAATTAAGAGCTTCCTTCGAAGTCGGAGTGCAGGTGCTTAAGAGGAAAGGAACCAACAGTCAACCTACAAATGAGTCAGATCTGCCAAACGGATGCACACGCAACACTCAGGTTCTGGAAAAGGACTCCAAACAGAAGTGGACAAACAACCAGAACTTTCCGCTGTGAACGCGAATAAGAAGAAGGAGCAATAAAAGGCCACATTTGAAACTTACAGTTGACATGTAAGTTGATGGACATCTCGATAGGTGTGCTTTCCTGGTCTCTGGTGCCATCACACATGTAAGTGCCAGCATCCTCGAACTTCAGCTGTCTGATGACCAGCTCCTGCCCACCACTGTTTCCTTGCAACACTCGTCTGTCAAACGGCAACCCGTCCTTTCTCTTCCACCGCACAGTTGGCGTTGGGCTGTCAGAAATTACAGATATCCCAAAGTTATAGGTAGACTATTGTTCGTTCAACAATTCATTAACTCATTTGAAAGCCATTTTCTTGAAAACTGCCTTTTAGATCGCATTAATTTTTACAGCCTTAAAATATTCATGACGTAAAGAAGAATATCATATGTCGCCCCCCCCCCCCTTTTTTTTTAACGATATATTTATCCTTAAATAGGGGCTTTTGAGATGAAATGCTATAGAAAGATTCCCAGAATATCTTGGACAAAGAAGATAAATAATATTGACATCTCAAAAGATCTGAACATCAAGGAAGATTGGCTAATAAACAGCATCCTTTCTCGAAAGCTGAAATATTTTGGTCATATCAAGCGCCATGACGGATTGGAAAAAAATTATTGCAGAAGGCATGGTACCATGAAGGAGGGGCAGAGGCCGACCAACACGAAGATGGGCACAAGATATAAGTGACTCCTTGAGTATGAAAGTACATGAGGCGGAAGAACTGGCGAGAGATCGAGTTTCTTTCAGGCAGACCGTGATGAGAGCGACGTTCTGCAAAGGACCTGCTACATAATGATGATGATGATGATTTATGCTGATGAAACAATCTTTTGGAAGGTTTAATTTCCTTAGTTTCAAAACGCAATGCGCACTATGACTGGTAGTCAAAGAAAACCTACGTATTTTCTCGTGGAAAGTCGCACTGTTAACAACCTGAAGCCAAAATAAGACGTCGGTCCTTTTTAGTGAAAGGTGCATCGACAAATTAGTCTTTTGTTACTGTGTCATGTAGCTCGCTTACAAATGCTGACAGAGACATCAATTTCAAAATTAATTTGAGAGCTGATAATTTATATCTATGCAGAAGTTTACCATTTGACTGTACCAGAACTTTCTCCGGGAATCTAAGATGGGTCATTTATAATGTAATAATCATGACCCACAGAAACAAACAGGAATGGCGCTTGGTCTGGATAGAGCATCATTTGACTGTTGGATTAGACAGGACGCAGAGTAAACTCATGTCAAGCAAGGAAGAAAAAGAAAAGTTGATACTTAGGTGTGGATGTCAATAAACGTGGGATCATAAAAATGTTAGAGAAAATCAATTTGTTTCTCTCCGAAAACTGAAATTAACATTGAAATCACAATCCAGTACTGACATTTCAAAAGGTAGTCTGTAAAAAATTGTAAGAGCAACCTGGTTTACTTTCAGGAAAATTGTAGCTGGAAAAAATATTATTTGTGAAAAGCCACATTTGATTGTTAGTCAAAGCAAATACCTGAGGCAGATCAGTGAGCGACGGAGGCAAGGCTATGATATTGAGGCAAGGCTATGATATAGTATATTTGGATGAATCCTAGGTTAATGCTCACCATACACATGACTAAGAATGGCAGTCAGTAACTGGTGAACAGAAAAGAAACATTACAAGCATCAACGGCCAGCGCATTATACAAACTTATGCAGGAAGCTTCCATGATGCTGGACTTATTTTCCAATCCAAAAATATACATGGTAAAGACTACCACACTGAAATGCTCAGATATTGGATGGAAAAGGATCTTCTTCCAGTTCTGGGCAGACCATCATGCCTAGTAATCGTTGCCGCCTATCATAATGCCGTATCAGAGGAAGACAAAGTACCAATGACATTAAATACAAAAGATCAAATTAGGACATAGCTTGCTAAGGAGAGAGTCAACTTTGACGACACAGAATTATAGGCAGAGTTGTTGAAGCTTGTGGGGAAAACAAATAAGACAAGGGTGAATCACACTGACTTAATAAAAAATGAATACGGCCACACTTCTCTGCGAGTTCCTGTATTGCATTCACACCTTAACTCCATAGAGCTTGTTTTGGGCTTAAGTCAAAGGACAAATTGCTGAAAAGAACAGCACATTTAGGATATGTGATGTTGAAGTTCTGACACCTGAGTCCCTTTCAAAAATAGACATTCAGTTTCAGAAGAAATAAAATGTGTTGAACATATGCACTGAGAGGAAGACGAGAACTGGCACCGAGATGGATTACAATTTGATAGCCAGTAATAATAATCAATCTTTTGTGATCGTGAGTTTCAGAATGATTAAAACCATATTTTGATGAGTGATTGAATATCATCAACCCGTTAGGTACATCTACAGTTGCAACAAATACATCAACATACCCAAATGTGTCAACCATAATACAATTTACTGTGCAGTTAAGATGCCCACTGGAGTCTAATGGTGACTGAGTGGGAATACTAACTGTTGCATATTGGGGACATGTTTACAAGTGAACAAGCCAGACAGATATGGCTGGATCTGCACCACTGGGTGGTGAATTGATACATGACAAGGCAGATGTGGTCAAGGCACTTTGGAAACAAGCAACGAAGTCAGAAGAGAAAATAGGCCTAGAGAATGATACACCTGGGTGTGACCGGAGGGTTTGCCCGGCAAACTACACTCAGAGGAAAGGCAAGATAGTCGTAAAATCAGATTGCGTCCGGTACCGTTAGTATTGGAACTCTGCCCTGGCTGCTGAAGATGAGGAAGATGGATATGCCATATTCAACTCAACCGAACATAAATAACAACAAATAAATTTACTTCACCTATTAATGTATTATGCAGACACGCCTCTTAAAAAAAAAAAAAAAACGAAATTCAGATGTTTACTGTCAAATGTAAAAGTTCACTCTGCTTATTTACAATAGTTCGAAAAGATCAAAGCAAGTGGCTGAAATTCAGCATCTTGAGCTTCTATGGACAAAAAGAATACCACTGTTTTTGCGTCATGGATATTCTAAACAATAATTGCGAGCTAACAGACAGTTTTGGAGAAAGCGGCTTGCAAGTGTGTTCGTAAATTGTTTGATGAAATGCGACTACTTAGTGTAAAATAAATAAAATAAAATAAAATATAAAGTAAAGTTAAGATCCATTTTCATGCCTTTCAGGCGCATCGGGTATATGGGAAGAGCACCCATATTTTTTAAAGACCAATCGGCACTAGGTAAGTAATGTAGTCAGCATTACGCCTGCCGTCTTTATTTCCCCAAAAACAGCCATCCTGATACCATTTTAGGCTGGGTCGACCTGCGACACCCCATACCGTAAAATAAAAAATTGTTGTGGTAAATGTTCAAAGCGTGTTATGTTTATTGCTGTAGTGTGGACTGGGGTGTCGAAAAGTGTAGGAAAGCTATTTTCTACATCTTGCGATGTTTAAGACGGTAGTTCCAGATACGTTTGGATTGTCGCTAACTTGCATCCTAGCGCATTTATTAAGGATCAGTATATACTCGCAGAGAGAAATACTACATTTTTTTAAACATTAAATGGAATGCTCATTTAAATTTGTAGATCTGATTGAAAAATGAATTATGTTAAAATAATCGATTTCATTGCAGTGAGTTTTATCTCGCTCCCTCTCTCTCCGCTCCCTCCCCCCCTCTTCTCTCTCTCTCTCTCTCTCTCTCTCTCTCTCTCTCTCTCTCTCTCTCTCTCTCTCTCTCTCTCTCTCTCTCTCTCTCTCTCTGCAAAAGAGGGATTGCTTGAACCAAACATCGTAGTTTGGTAAGAAACAAACCAGAGTTCAAGGCGAGCAGTGTGGTCACTCCACAAGAAAGGCCACTTGGATTTGTCTTCCCCTCAGGTAAGAGGAGTTTTGTGCCCATCTTCTGAGCTTCTGTTTCGTGTTGGGTAGGGGGGGGGGAGGAGGGGGGGGGGTGTTATAATGTGTACGTCTTGATCTATTCTTTTATGGTACCTGAGAGCCTTTTAAAACGCGTATACAGATTAACTAGGCTTGTACTGATGGATGACTTATCGTATAGAGCGTCTGTTGCCAAGTATTTATTACTTCATTACCTAATTATTTTGAATAATTTTCAGCTTACTTTCCAGCGAAAATACACTTCATTTTGAAATCGGAACCGACTTGTCCTTGTACATCAAATCTAGAAGTGGGCCATAGTTTTCTCATTGGAGACATGATCAGAGTGGCTGCAGAAACATACACACATGTCATCAATACAGAGAAGCTTCAAAAACAGACACATATTGTTTCGTTATATAAATATACAAAATAAATATACATAAATACACTCGTATGTTTGAAGTTATTTTTGCTTCCGACAGCGCTTTGTTAATGCAGTTTGCATACATGGACGGTAATCTACTGTTTCGCTGCCTGAGCTACTGAGTTTAGTACCAAGGATACGTGATCCTTACTATTTTAGACTGGGTCGAACTTGGAGCCAATGTCCATTTTGAAACACATAAGCCCTGATGGAGCGATAAAGATTCGAACTATAAATCTTCATGCCGGTATGAAACCATCCTGCATCAGCGAAATCGTTGCTGTCAATATAAACGTAATAACTACATTAACTCCGTAGTTCCAGAGACTATTTATATGCATCTTAAAAAAAAAAAACTTGCGAGTCAATAGAAAGAGACATCACGACCTTCAGAACGCAATACACACTAATAAATCATCTCACACCGATGACCCTCGTGGGGTTTCCAGATACAAATATCATATCAGTTAGGAGTAAAATAATTAACTCTACGGGTAAAACTATGTTATGCACTGATTTGAATATTGAATGTTTGGCAGTTAAATTCGATAGATGGCAAATTTAAGGCTCCGACATTTAAGAAACGCAAAGGTAAGCGCCCCCACCCCCACCCCCTTATCCCCCTTCCTCCCTGGCTCGGACTTACAAAACAACTTTTAGGAACAATCTTGGGTGTAGATGCCAACTTTTTGCGACAAGTACACACAGGAAACGTACCCCCCCCCCCCCCCCCCCCCCCCCCAAAATGCATTGTGGCATTGAAGCACATTTTAATGAAGCCAAAACAAACTTAACAAACTGAAAAAAATACACGTATCTCAAAAACATAGCTTGGGACACGAGAAGCACACCAGTGACCCGGAGACAGCATTGGCCATCAGAGACTGAGCCATGAATGGGAAGTCAGCGTATTTACCCTGACAGAAAAAAATTACCGCGAGAACAACGCCGTGCACAAAATACACAGACCTGTAGCCGAACTATACAGTCACAACAACAATTCCAGCCATACACAGACTTACAGCCCAACTATACAGTCACAACAACAATCCCAGCCATACACAGACCTGCAGCCCAACTATACAGTCACAACAACAATCCCAGCCATACACAAACCTACAGCCCAACTATACAGTCACAACAACAATCCCAGCCATACACAGACCTGTAGCCGAACTATACAGTCACAACAACAATCCTAGCCATACACAGACTTACAGCCCAACTATACAGTCACAACAACAATCCCAGCCATACACAGACCTGCAGCCGAACTATACAGTCACAACAACAATTTCAGCCATACACAGACCTGTAGCCGAACTATACAGTCACAACAACAATCCCAGCCATACACAGACTTACAGCCCAACTATACAGTCACAACAACAATCCCAGCCATACACAGACCTGTAGCCGAACTATACAGTCACAACAACAATTCCAGCCATACACAGACTTAAAGCCCAACTATACAGTCACAACAACAATTCCAGCCATACACAGACCTGTAGCCGAACTATACAGTCACAACAACAATCCCAGCCATACACAGACCTGTAGCCGAACTATACAGTCACAACAACAATCCCAGCCATACACAGACCTGTAGCCGAACTATACAGTCACAACAACAATCCCAGCCATACACAGACTTACAGCCCAACTATACAGTCACAACAACAATCCCAGCCATACACAGACCTGCAGCCGAACTATACAGTCACAACAACAATCCCAGCCATACACAGACCTGTAACCGAACTATACAGTCACAACAACAATTCCAGCCATACACAGACTTAAAGCCCAACTATACAGTCACAACAACAATTCCAGCCATACACAGACCTGTAGCCGAACTATACAGTCACAACAACAATCCCAGCCATACACAGACCTGTAGCCGAACTATACAGTCACAACAACAATCCCAGCCATACACAGACCTGTAGCCGAACTATACAGTCACAACAACAATCCCAGCCATACACAGACTTACAGCCCAACTATACAGTCACAACAACAATCCCAGCCATACACAGACCTGCAGCCCAACTATACAGTCACAACAACAATTCCAGCCATACACAGACTTAAAGCCCAACTATACAGTCACAACAACAATTCCAGCCATACACAGACCTGTAGCCGAACTATACAGTCACAACAACAATCCCAGCCATACACAGACCTGCAGCCCAACTATACAGTCACAACAACAATCCCAGCCATACACAGACCTGCAGCCGAACTATACAGTCACAACAACAATCCCAGCCATACACAGACCTACAGCCGAACTATACAGTCACAACAACAATCCCAGCCATACACAGACCTGTAGCCGAACTATACAGTCACAACAACAATCCCAGCCATACACAGACTTACAGCCCAACTATACAGTCACAACAACAATTCCAGGTAATTTTCGAAGGCGTCGCACAGACCTACAGCCTAACTATACAGTCACCACAACAATCCTAGCCATACACAAAAAGGCTGAAGAATGCGACCTAGTATTGAAAGAAAGACCCTTAAACATGTCCACAACTTTTATTCTAAACCCGAATCATCATCATCATCAGGTGCCTTGCCGACTGGCGTGGGCGATCATGCCTCTCCATAATCCGCGATCTCCTGCAGCATGTATCAGTTCGTGTGCCGACACACCTCCATGCCATGCAACAAGACTGTCAAGCATCTTCTCTCGTTGTCTTCCTCTATCCCTCCTTCCACAGATCTTTCCAGTGGTCACAACATGTTCTATTTTCCCTCTTCTCATAACATGGCCGAAAAATGATGACTGTCTCCCTCTGATGTCAGTGATGAGTTGTCTTTGGTCTTCCGCCTCTTTCAAAACCTCTTGGTTGCTCTTTTTGGCTGTCCAAGGTATTCTAAGCATTCTTCTGTAAAACCACATCTCTGAGGCCTCTAAAAATTGTTTGGCCTGCCTACCGATTGTCCAGGATTCACATCCATATGTTAAAACTGGATGTATGTAGCAAGCAAGAATTCTTTTTCTAACTCTCAATGACAAGGATATATTGCACAAGATGTTTTTCATTTTATAAAATGCAGTTTTTGCCTGTCCAATTCTGTTTCTTATTTCAGTTATGCATCTTCCATCTGATGTTATCCATGTGCCCAGATACTTAAATTTCTGTACTTGTTTTAAAATAACACCATTGACTTTTATTACACATTTAGGAATAATTTGTTTCTTTGATACCACCATTACTTCTGTCTTCCCATTTCAAACTGAGGCCCATTCTTCCACTTTCTAACACCACAATGTCTATCATTTCCTTAGATCCTTTTAAAAATAGACAAGCCGGTTTGGTTATCATGATGTAAGATGGAACCGCAATGGAAATGTCAAGTACTTCTTGTAAATTCCATAAACTTTAAAGCAGAGCAGCCAGTAATTATTGATGCCACAACAATTTTTGATGGGGGAAACAACTAAAAAAAAAAAAAAAAAAAGTAACAGCAATATAGTTTTAATGAATCATTGCATGGACAGAAAACTGATCTGTCAGCTAAATATACTCTCAGAAAACATTCAAATCGTTCTCCAGTGGATCACCTCCCCCGCAGCAAAGCAGGAAATGAGTTAGTGGACAAATAATGGAACAAAGAAGAAACAATACATCTATTAAAGTCATTACGAGAAATCAAATTACATAAAAAGGGGAAATACAGGAGACTGTGGAGAGAACAAACCAACAGTAGACACCCATAAGCCCCATCAGCTAATTCAGCCGAAAACAACATAAGATTTTTCGTCTAAGAATATAACACTGCAGGCTCAACTACCACATGGACGACATAAAGACTGTACAGTCCCCAGAGTTCATTTCAGATGGAACCACAAACACCTGATAATATTCTGCTGGCATGACTACTATACCTATACTTAGGAAATGCAACCTGGCCTCAAGAGCAATGTATGCAGAGCAAGCTATGGGAAACTACAAAGGACCAGCTGCTGACATACGAATTCGTAGAGGCAGCCCACCTCTCACAGTCTGACCTGAGCTTACAAAACCGAACACTTCGATTTTGATTTAATTTCTTATTGTCACTTTCATTCCTCATAGGTAACTAATTATGCTCCCAAGTAACACATACACGACTCAAAGAGACTCTCAGGCACGACGACAGTGACACGATAAGGATCGAAATCTACGTATGACAGAATGTCACGTGCTAAACAAATTATAAATTTTCGAGTAGATTTTCAAATATTAGGTTTTCAGGTTTCAAACTGAGAAGGGTGTGCAACGGCCGGAGAGGGTTGGGGAGATGAAAGCACAATCAAAAAATACTTTGTCACTTTAAATAACCTAACAGTTTTCTGAAAACTATTGTCTAAGGACAAGTCTAAGTCAAAGAGGCTAGAATATGATGAGCTACTACTTTATTGCCTTACACAACCATCTAACCGGGAAGACAATGTTTTGTCCGAATAGGCTAATAGACCTTGGACAGAAAATGCTACAGATCCATTTCCTTTAGAAATAAATATGCAAGGGAATGGTGGCGTCGATGATACTCAGGTAGTGTACATATACAGTGTCCACTGATGATGTAAGAGTATCACTTACTTCCTTGGGGTTTGATGTACTGCGGTGGTCCGATCACAGACATTCTCATGATACTGTTGTAGGCCACACAGTGGTATGGCTTGCCGTTCTGAGCATCCTCAGGAGTCACGTACGTGAAGTAGAGTCGATCTGGATTAGATTATTTAAATAACAACATGAATTATTACCACGGTTGTGTGGCAGTTGGTCATTTGAAAACACACACACACACACACACAAACACACAAGGACATGTTATGTCTGTGGCGGGTATGCAGTCCGCTGCGCCTATTGTAGAAGACATTATGTGAGTTGTCCTTGATGGTGACCCACACTACTGTCGTGGGCGATTGGAGCTGTGCTTCACAAAAGCACAATATAATAGTTTGGTCTGAAAAGACGGAAAATGTCAACTAGACCACAGAAAACAGTCAACATTAGAACAGCGTACAATATAGGCATGATTCGACATTCAACAGAAAATTGTCTGTTATCAATTTTTGAGGTTAGGTCCAACCCTTTACTGTTGAGTTTAAAAAAAAAAAGATTTTGACTAGGCTTTTTAACATGGACTCGTTGTGGCGAAACGTCCTGGCCCTCGTCTGTTTATAAGATGGTCCTCAGTTGCGGCCCTGATGGAGCCGGACCTTTTTCAGAAACTATCTTGGCTTCCAGGTCGACTCAGCCTTAAATGCGTACAAGATACAGTCCTTGGAAGTAAAGGCAGTAGGTGCGATGTTGACCACATCACCTACTGAGTGCCGATAGGTCTATAAAAATATAGGTCTGGCCCTATATGCCCTATACGCCTTAAGGCGTAAAAAAGGGCCCTTTACCTTTTTACTATCTGCCGAATACGCCTGAAGGCGTGAAAAGGGGTTCCTTGTTATAATCTGGACGACTGTTTGGGTAGCGATTTGCACTAATGACTATGTCTTGCGGATCTAATACACATGAACACATTAATAATCAAATACAATCTTCTTCTCCGTTCACCCTTGTAGGGATAGTTGACACATTGTGTTGGCTTTTACGTCCAGGCTGCGATAAATGTACCTTCCATTTCAGCAAATTGCTTTTTGCTATGGGCGTTTAGGGGGCAGTGGGTCTTTTCTCCTGCCAAATGAAGTCCCAGAACCCACATGGGGTTTCAAGTAAAGAAAAAGCTATGCTAACCTTCATAATCCATGGTGACTCGATTGTTCCAGAATACAGGCTGAAAGTTGCCGGAATCACCGTACACCCAGTAGATGGTTGCGTCAGGGACACTGTCAGGAGACTGACAGTTTAGAGTCAGGGATGTCCCTAGTTGTGGCCGATGTATAATTGGCTCTGAAGACATGAAAGCAGACAGCTTCGCCATCTTGAGATTGAATTTAATGGTTGCGGCCCTGAGAATTAAATCAGAAAATTCTCTTAGTTTGAAATGTAGGGTCAACTGAAGAGATAACGAACGGAATATTTGAGTTTTTAAACGTGCAAAATAAAGAATACAGGCAAAAAACAGTAAAACCACGAAGAACCAGATTGGGACCACTTTACGGTTACTCTCTCTCTCTCTCTCTCTCTCTCTCTCTCTCTATGTGTGTGTGTGTGTGTGAGTGTGTGTATGTGTGTGTATGTGTGTCTGTGTGTGTAGATTACTTTTTGAATTTTAAATGATTGGTTTTAAAACTTAAAAACAACCTTAGGACACATTTAATAATAGTATGTCCATTTGTTTTTCTAAATATAGTTTTTCACCTCTCCGAAGAGGTTAGCCAACGTTACCACCGCTGGCTGGAGTGCCAAGCGCATGAGCACACCATTGCGCACTTTTATTTGTGTGCCAATATTTTACCCCCGATTTCGCACAACCGAGGCATGGAAAATCCAACTATCACATTTATTTGTCTGTAGCAGCTCTTGTTTTTTTTTTTTTTTTTTAGATACGGCCATTTGTGATTTTCATAGATATTGTTGCAGTATGTGATGTAAAAAGTGTACAAATCTCGAGAGGGGGGGGGGGGGGGGGGACTTATGGCTGTCTAGTATTTTACAAATTCGATTAACTTACATACATGCCAGTATCCCAGGTATTTTCTTACACGACTAACACAGAATAGCATCCTCTTCAAGAAGGGCCTGTTTTCTTTCGCCAGATTTATTATGTTATATTCGTGAAGATCGAACAAAGAAAGATAGAAAACAGTAAAGAGATATATGACAATATCAGAACTGGTTCTATTAGTAACATTAGGTGGTAATTTAGCAGATGTAAGTATTATACAGGTCTAGGCATCGACGGCAGACAGTTCAGAGAAAGAAAACAATGATTTTTATAAACAACTCAGCATAAGCTTAGCATAGTGTAAAACCGGGGAAAACAACTGTACTGCAAGATGACTTTAATGCAAAGATTGGGCAAGAAAAGGGTGCCGACATTACAGCTGTATATGGTCTTGGGGAGTGAAATGAGAGAGGAGAAAAACTGGCTGAATGGACTAGGCCACATAAATTGATAATTGGAAATACTCATTAAACAACATCATAGACGCCTGTGCACTTGGAAAAGCCCCAGAATTAATTTTAGGAACATTCTTGTAAACAGCCGATTCAGAGACGGTTTGCTTTCAGTAAAAGCAGGACCTGGTGCAGACTATAACAGTGACAATTTGCCAATTAAGCATAAAGCTGGGTGGAAAAAAAAACTAAAATTGTCTACAAGAAATAACCAAACTAGATTTGGCAATGCTTGAATCAATTCAATAAATGAGTAGGAGATATATCAATACTGTTAAAAATACATACAAGAGGAATACTGCTAATATACTTGATGGTAAAGTATACTATTGCTAAAATACTGAGTGGAAAAAAAAAGATTATTGCTAATATACTCGGTGGACAAGGATAATATTGCGAATATACTTTGTCGACAAGAACAATATGCTGCTTAAGAACATTCACTAATTTTTAGTTGATTATGTGGATAAACAGTGGACATTTACCGGCTAAAATGTAAGCAGTTTCTGTTTACTTTCTGCTTACATGTTGTTCTCTCTTTTTCAAGCATATTAGAACAATTATCTTAGTCAATCACGTATATTAGCAATATTTTTCTTGTCCACCCAGTATATTTTTCACTATTCTTGTTGTCCACCCAGTTTAATAGCAGTATATTGATGGAGATATGTCAATCCCATTTATTTTCAAACAGTGCAAAGCACCTGTTATGAGTTTCTGGCCTTAGTAAACTCACTCCCTGTTTCTCATTCATTGTGATGTGAACCCATGTGGTTAAAATGAGAATATTGTGAAATATGACTGTGTATGTCTGTGTGTGTAAGCATGTTAACCCTTAGTGTGCAGACATCAGAACAATTTACACTGAGGAATGTCCTTTCTTTTTGTGTGCTGTAAACTCTTGTTCTTGAGAGTATTCATGAAAGTGGTTTCCTAAATATTTCCCCATCAGGATTATGGACCATGTTCTGTATACATTCCCATTCTATGCCAGTAGAATGTGAACACCTGTTACTATCCTACTCCAATATATATGTGTGTGTAGTGTAACAGTATTTAAAGACTGGAGGTATTGTTTTCTCCAGTTAGAAATTTCCTGACTGTTTGTATAAGGACTGTTCTAATGTTCTAGTTCCAGATTGTAGTCCAGGTGGGAGATCCATAAGTAGCTGCAGATGCCCGATTGTCTGGACTGGACCGGAAGATTCGGCCTGCCTGATGTGTCACCGAGGCTTAGCTAGAAGCTGACCTAAAGCTACAGCTAAGATTTAACCTACCTTGTATAACAGGATTTTTTATCCACAGCCATTTTGTTTATTATTTTGATATCCAATTCTGAATAAATGTTAGTTTTAATGTTCCTACAGTTTTATGAAGTTTCATTTTAACTGTAAACATTGTCAGTGAACTTAAGAACATTTAAATATACAATCTTAATTACAGCAGGGAATAAGATGTGGGCAAACCCCGAATCCTCTCATTTAACCAGCAAGGCTGGGGTTACTATAAGACTTTATGATGACTCACTGTTTGTAATTCCCTCTGTAAAGTGCACATAGTGCATTCGCTAGTTAAAGCGAAGTTACCCGCCACAGAGTGGGGTCTCGTCTCGGAATTTACTCACTTACAGAGTGGGGTCTCGTCTCGGAATTTACTCACTCACAAAGTGGAGATCTTGTCTCGGGGTTTGTAACCTCACACACAAAGTGAGATATTGTTCCTGGTTTTTCCCTAGACAACAGCATATTTTTTTTATATTTTGTGTTCAAGTGTTTAGCCATCTTTGATTTATTTTATGGCATATACTTAAAGAACACTGGGGGCTCAGAGTCATTAGTTACTAGTTTGCCTTTTAAAGTTAGCAAAAATTAACTTAGGTAATTATGTAACTGAAATTTACAAATAGTTTAAATGTTCACTGACTTTAGGAAATCAAAATATATAATTGGCTAGGACAATTTTAAATCCCAAAAATAATGGCTGCCCATAAGGTTAAGGATTTGTTAAAATGGATTGACAATTACCTTGCTATTTTTTTTTTACATTTTGATTGATTGATTCTGTGATTGATTATTTGATTGATGCATATGTGATTTGCTTACTAACCCTCTGTTGACCTAATTTCATGAGTCTTGTCTAGTACTCTATAATTTCAGCAGCAATCATAGGTGATAATTTGCAAACTCCTTGTAAGGGTCACTACAGCTTAACCGAGATGGCAGCCTTTCATTCTCTATTGGGCAAGACCATCTCAGACTTTGCTGCTCATGAGGCAGGTTTGAGTGGGATTGAGCTAGATATATATGTCTCTGATTTGTTGAATGCCAAATCTCAACTAGAAAGTAATGTAGGTGTCCAAGGGAGGGAAACAGATTCTATAGATTGGTTGTTTAGAAGTATAGAAATGGGTCAGGCTTGCAAATTCACAGGTATTAAACTTCTAGAGTGTGTTGCAGAGAAGGTCAAGGAAGATTGGGAGTGGCAACTGGAATGTGTCCAAATGGAACAGCATGCACAAGCTAAAGGTTTCAAAAAAGCTGTTGAACATGCTCAGTGGAATCAGAAAGCTTTTGCTGGTGAGCCTTCCCGAGAATTATGGATGTTCACAACCAAAAAGCCAGACACTTCCATGTCAGCCAAAAATGCATTTCCAAGTACAAGTATCAGTCACTGTACATCAGTAATTGAAGAAAGATCCCTTACCCCACCAGAATCTGGAAATGAAAACCCTGGTAGAGAATGTGAGATCCTTGGCAGCTGTCAAGAGATCTTAGCTAGTGAGCCTGCGGCTGCAGTGACCACTAGTGGGCTAGCTACCACAAAACTTGAGTTAACTCAGGGTGGTGATTTCTGTCAAGATGGTCATTCCTTGGCAGAAATAAAAAGTGTTATTCCCAAAACCAACCCCAATTTAGATAATATTATTGTATCTAGAAGCTTGCACAGCAAGGAAACTTTGAAGAAGGTAGGTGGCGAGACAGAAGACTTCAGCTCCACGCTGCAGATAGTATCTTGTAAAGCGGAGTCTGTTTATGTCCATGCTCCCCCTACTTATTCTCACACGCAGTCAGTAGAAAGTCATGTGCTAGTTAAAGACATAGATTTTTCCAGTAAGTCGAGTGATATCCTAGAGTTTACTGAGAGAAGCAAAAATGCATCTCAGTCCTGCTTACAAGTTAGGAAAAAAGAGTCTCAGGCCTTAGATAAGTCCTTGAGGTCTCAAGGTATGTTGTTGTGTCCCCTCAGAATCAAGGGCCAGCACAACTTTGACTACCAAGAAAATGAGTCTCATGCTTCTGAAAAGCCACCGAGATCTCAGGGTATGTTGTTGTGTCCCCTCAGAATCAAGGGCCAGCACAACTTTGACTACCAAGAAAATGAGTCTCATGCTTCTGAAAAGCCACTGAGATCTCAGGGTATGTTGTTGTGTCCCCTCAGAATCAAGGGCCAGCACAACTTTGACAATCCAGAAAATGAGTCTCAGGCTTCTGATAAGCCAGTGAGGTCTCAGGGTATGTTGTTGTGTCCCCTCAGAACCAAGGACAATCACAACTTTGACAACCCAACGACTGCAAATAATTAGGTCATGAGAGACCAAAAGTCTCGCATCTTGGTCCAATCCAAGATGAGCCAACCAAAGCATTTGTGGACACCTCTTCTGAAAAGAGTTGTGTGTTTCACCAAGATTAGACCGATAGCTAGGCAGACTGCTAAAAAGCTAACTAGGTCTACTGAGAACCCCTTAAAGAGTAAACTCCTTAAGCTCAGGTCTTTTGCCAGTTTAGTTAGGACCATTAATGATCCCAACCCTAAATCTGGTAAGGCTTATGCCAAATCCTCTGCAACCAGGCCAGAAACTTCAGTCTGTGCCAGTGCAGCCAAGAGGAGGAAGAACCCTTCCTTTACTTCATCTTCAGATGAAACCCACAAGACCCAGTCTACGGTTGAGACTGTAGGGTCTGTACACTGTCGTAAGCAGCGCTTACCTTTTCTTCCATGTAAATCCTCCCAGATAGTTTCATAGATAAGACGCACTCAGACAGGTATTTTGAACATTGAACTGATCTTTCCTTCATGTCACCTTTTCTTTAAGAATTTTCTCTTCAGAGATGTGGACAGTCCGCCTTGACTTTCTCTGGGAAAAGACTTTGGTATGTTAGTCGCAGTCGGTCATATCCGCTGGGACGGGGCTACAAATCCCAGTCAGTTGTTAAGGAGAAATTTTTTGTTCCTATTGAGATCCCATAGCAGATTAATTAGGGGATAATTTAGCAGGTGGATTGTAGGTAGCAGAAACAGTATCCAGGCCAGTTTAAGTTTGATATGTAAATATCAAACTTATCTTCGTTGGGCATATGTGACGAGCTGGTCTGGACAGCTGTTTCTGTCCTTTTAAAAAGTGCTTTGTTTAGATAATACTATTACCAAAGTTCTAAACATTTTCCTATTGCTTTTAATTAGCATAATAACACTGGACTAATTAAGAAATTTCTTACCCCTTTCCTAATGCTTCATTGTAGCAAAATTATAATTAAAGAGTTGAAAGGTAATAAAGGCGAATGAGATGATTAGTCAAGGGGAACTGAAGAGTAACTTCCTCCTTTTTAAAGACTTCCTGTTCCCTTTTCAATTCAGAAATTGACCGGTTCAGACTAAAGTTCTTAGTCCGCCTGTGGTTCAATTTTCTGTTTGAATTCCCTGCCAGGGGTGAGTTAAAAGAATAAGTTTAATTTGATGTTTTGCTGCTTATTCCTCTGAATTAATTCCACAGGTTAAATTCTGAAATTTGATGCCCCACATGGCTTAAAAACCATGATAAATTTCTTTATCCTTACTAACCACGTTTATGATCTAGTATGTACATGTATGCAAACATATTATCTATTTGATGATTGAATTAATGTTTATTTGCTACTAGAAACGTGCATTGGTATTTTTAATAATTATACTTAAATTAATTAAGTGATAATTATGTCCTCATGTGAAATCTCAGCCAGTTCCTGTTTCCAGCTTCGACAATTAAAAATAGGAATGAAGTGTATATTCATTATACCTAATCCCTTCTAGGTTGATTTTACCTCATGGTGATATTAGCTTAATAAATCACTGTCTTGCTTTAAATTAGATTTAGTCCAGATAATTCTGAAAATGGTTTAAGAGCTTGAAAAGTGAATAACACAGTGGGCTGAATTTAATATTCACACTGTCAGAGAAGAAGAAGCAGAAAAGAGATGTATGGCCCCTGCTTGTAATTATTATTGTTGTAGATATATTTCCCTATTACTAGGAATACATTTCAGTTTTACAGCAGCTGGCCTTACAAATGTAATAATTATATTTCACCCCTCACCACTTCTAACTCTGCTGAATAAGATTAGCACATGTGTGGATTTAGATTTAAACTGGAGTGAGTGTTGTATATTTTATGTTAATACTGTGACAGATGGAAAGCCCATTGTCATCTATGATTGTATTTTGACATCTATCCCAACACCCAGTATATTGATGGAGATATGTCAATCCCATTTATTTTCAAACAGTGCAAAGCACCTGTTATGAGTTTCTGGCCTTAGTAAACTCACTCCCTGTTTCTCATTCATTGTGATGTGAACCCATGTGGTTAAAATGAGAATATTGTGAAATATGACTGTGTATGTCTGTGTGTGTAAGCATGTTAACCCTTCAAAGGAGTACTAGTGTGCAGACATCAGAACAATTTACACTGAGGAATGTCCTTTCTTTTTGTGTGCTGTAAACTCTTGTTCTTGAGAGTATTCATGAAAGTGGTTTCCTAAATATTTCCCCATCAGGATTATGGACCATGTTCTGTATACATTCCCATTCTATGCCAGTAGAATGTGAACACCTGTTACTATCCTACTCCAATATATATATATGTGTGTGTAGTGTAACAGTATTTAAAGACTGGAGGTATTGTTTTCTCCAGTTAGAACTTTCCTGACTGTTTGTATAAGGACTGTTCTAATGTTCTAGTTCCAGATTGTAGTCCAGGTGGGAGATCCATAAGTAGCTGCAGATGCCCGATTGTCTGGACTGGACCGGAAGATTCGGCCTGCCTGATGTGTCACCGAGGCTTAGCTAGAAGCTGACCTAAAGCTACAGCTAAGATTTAACCTACCTTGTATAACAGGATTTTTTATCCACAGCCATTTTGTTTATTATTTTGATATCCAATTCTGAATAAATGTTAGTTTTAATGTTCCTACAGTTTTATGAAGTTTCATTTTAACTGTAAACATTGTCAGTGAACTTAAGAACATTTAAATATACAATCTTAATTACAGCAGGGAATAAGATGTGGGCAAACCCCGAATCCTCTCATTTAACCAGCAAGGCTGGGGTTACTATAAGACTTTATGATGACTCACTGTTTGTAATTCCCTCTGTAAAGTGCACATAGTGCATTCGCTAGTTAAAGCGAAGTTACCCGCCACAGTCGACAAGAACAATATGCTGCTTAAGAACATTCACTAATTTTTAGTTGATTATGTGGATAAACATTGGACATTTACCGGCTAAAATGTAAGCAGTTTCTGTTTACTTTCTGCTTACATGTTGTTCTCTCTTTTTCAAGCATATTAGAACAATTATCTTAGTCAATCACGTATATTAGCAATATTTTTCTTGTCCACCCAGTATATTTTTTCACTATTCTTGTTGTCCACCCAGTTTAATAGCAACATTCTTTTTGTCCACTCAGTATATTCTTCTTGTCCATAGTGTATATTAGCCATTCCATCCAGTATATTACCAATATTTTTCTTGCCCATCCAGTATATTAGCAAAATTCTTCTTGCCCATCCAGTATATTAGCAATATTCTTCTGGTCAACCTAGTATATTAGCAATATTCTTCTGGTCAACCTAGTATATTAGCAATATTCTTCTGGTCAACATAGTATTTTAGCAATATTCTTATTTTCCATCCAGTATATTAGAAACCTACGTTTTGTCCACCCAGTAAATTAGCAATATTCTTTTTTAGCCCACCCAGCATATTATCATTTTCTTCTTGTCCACCCTGTATATTAGCAATTTTCTTCTCGTACACCCAGTATATAAGGAATATTATCATTGCCCAACCTGCGTGATGAGCTCTGCCAACCTGCTACGTCAAAATTATTCTTTACAAAAATGCCTACTTACGTTCCTTGACTGTTTGAAGCGAAACACTGATAGATTCCCTCATCCTTGTCTTCGGGGTTATTTATGATAAGAGTTCCCACATCTTTCTGCTTGACGATTCTATCATCGTTGCCTTCAGGAGAAAAGGCCATATCGGCTCGCTTCCAGAAGTAGCTTCGATTTTCCAGAAATACAGAAAATGGTGTCTTGTGATTTCAACATATTGAAACATTATGATTACTGATCAAGTACACGAATAATCAAGCCTGCTACTATTATTATATTTGTTATAAAGAGATATGAATAAATAAAAGTAATATCAAGATCTATTTTTCACTACATACACAACAGTCTATTAAATAATCGACTACCTAATGCATCACATAAAATATAATTAACAAGTTCCTTGCACGCGTCTAAACGCATATTCATTTATTCATAATGCATGTATACATACATCCATACATACCTACATACGCACACACACATACACTAGCTCTTTAATGCGTAGGGCTAGGATGAGAGTGGTCTTGTACCTCACTACTGAAACAGCAGCAAAGAATGTTTGGCCAACATCTGGTTTTTTAATCCGTCCTGTAGATGCTGCAGGACGTCATTCCATCAGTAAGTTAATTAAATGGATACTTGAACTTTGGGCACTATAATGTCGTTCGGAGAGGGATTGGCTTGGGTGTAGTGACGTTTAATGAATCCTAGGGGAACCCATTCGAAAGTAGAGTTGACATGAGGGTTTCAGTTTCTATTACCAGTGTATCTTCGGGGCGAATCTTTCTGCAACGAATGGCTAAACAAGCTTCTTACTGGGCCACGTTTGAAGTAAAAAGGTATACAACTTTACAAGTTTAGGTACTCGACAGTCCATGTTTCTTTTCGGCACAGTGATCAGGTACAGGATAAAAGTGACTTCTTGAGTATGAAAGTACATGAGGCATGAGAGCTGGCGAGAGACCGAGTTTCTTTCAGGCAGACCATGATGGAAGCGACGTTCTGCAAAGCGCCTGCTACATTATGATGATGATGATAATGATGATGATCTTTTGATACTCCTAACTATCTGTGTATAATCCTACAAGGCCATGGAGCTGCTCAACAGTCCACCTAAAATCAAACAAATGGGTAACCTACAATTTCTTTACATTTGTATCAAAAGTCTCGGAATTGAAAGGCGACGTCACCACGAAGGTTCAGGGACCCGATGGTGGGTTAGGGGAAAGATAGAACAGAACCACTGCCCACTAACGAGCATGTCGTTAAAGGCGAATAATTAGGACTATTTCTTTTGAAAACGGATTACATCTGGGGTCGAAGAACTAACAGTCTGCATACAATAAAGCTTGATCAGTAACATGGGTATGCACGCAACGCTCGTCCTAGGGGGGAAAGACCAAAGTCCACAAGTGGAGGAACAATTATAACTTTTCGCCACATTTTACAGCCAGTGGCCATGTTTAACCTCATGGTGGCCTGGTGACAACGTTGTTGGAGGATGCGGTTTTAGGAAACCAAGGCGGAGACACACAGAGCTGGAGAATTGACTAGAGGAAGAGAGACTTTCAGGCGTGCCGTGAAGAGAGTGACATTCTGGAGCGGATCTGCTGATTTGTTTGCACAGGCTCTGTAGCATCGGTTAGGATCCTGAAATACTTTAGGTAGATTTGTTAAACTCGAAACTTTGCCCGGGCGGCGCCGTTAAGCTACTCTTTTCGATTTCCAACTGCCAAGGGAATTTTTTTACGTGCGCAACAATGTACACGGGTGTCCGATCTCACTACCCAGTCACCAGGGTAAATTACTAAAAGTCCAAGTGAAAAAATCCCAGCCATTAGCAGGAGTTGAACCCGGAACCTCTGACACTCGATGCGGACACCATGCCTCGAGACCACGCAGAGCCCTGATGATTTGTGATGATAAACGCAAAGAAGAAGAAGCAGAAAAGTGACTTGGATAGGAATTTGGAGGCTGACTTCAGCTCTCGTGGCTTAGATTATCTCAAGGCCTAACAACCCCATCTGTCGAACTGCAACAGGGCTACAGTTGTTCAATTCCAGACTGACAGACATACAAGAAATGAATTAAAACTAACCTGGGCATCGGATCACCGCTTGCTTCACATTCTATCTTAACCGTTTCTCCTGGCTTGTAGAATATATCTTTGGGTCCTTGCTTCGTGATTTTGGGTGGTATCGTTACTGGAAGAAATGCATGTCACAACATTTGTTACTGCGCAATAAGAAGTTCAATAACAAACGTTCTTGTTATATCAACATAAAGAACATATATACATATAAAGATATAGGCGCCCTATAATGAGGGTTCATGCATCTTTAGCCTCCCTCGCCCCTTAAAAAAAAAAAAAAAACGCCCTCCACCCGTCCTTGCACATAAACTGAGACCAGGTGGCAGCCCAGTGTCGTGGGTGGTTTTCTGTATTTGTCTTGCAATTCTCGGGTGGCTTGGTGATGGATTTTTTCATCCTTCTGAAGGTTTCTGCTACAGCATTTATTAATCTATTTCTTAGTCTTCCTTTCACCTTCCTCTCGGATGTTCTGCTGTAAATAGACTTATGTGAAGTTTGGCCTAGCTGCAGTGTCGCCAGATGCCTGAATCATTTTATCCTTTGTCTGTCAATATAATGGTCTTATTCGAACTTTCTCTCTAATGCTGGCATGCTGATAAACTAATGCAGCGAGATTTCAGGCTAAGGTCTGGAAGGAGAAAGGCACCTATTAGGTCAGATTTTTTTTCTGCTCCACCACGCGACTGACCTAGCAAGTCGGCAGTGGTGCAACTGATTGCTCATACACAATAAATAATGAATAATGTGACTGTTGTATGAGAGGACTGGGTACTAATGGGAATGCCCAATATGCAGTGGTGTCGATTGTGAGAACATCACATACTGCGAATAGAATTGGCTACAAAATGACCACAGCGCTTAGCTGCAGAAAGAAGTTCACTTCAGCGCATGACCAGCTAGACACCCTGTTATTTGTCATCATATGTATGTTAAAAGTTGTAGTATTAATGTTCATTACGACACTTACCACACGTCACCAGATCTATACTGAGAACAGTAGCTATGGCAAACCAAACGGTCATCATACCGTTTTTGTCTTGCATGTTCTGAAATGTAAAATTGCATCCACATAACTTGAAACTGAAACATTACAGTACATATATAAATGTTTTTCTTGCTGTGGTAGAAAATTGTGTTTGTATGTGTGTGTGTACATACTACATACATACACATAAGTCTAGAGAGCAAGATAGAAAGAGAGAGATAGAAAGAGAGAGAGAGACAGTCTCATGTATTGATGCAAACCCTAATGGCACAGACATCAGAGCATGATTAATTTTAAGGTTCGTATTTTGTCAGTTCTTGTGTAAATTTTAAAATAGCCATCATGAATCATGTCCCAGGCAAACAGGTGGAAAATGAAGAGGAAGACATTCCACTTGACAGATTAAATAAGCATTGACTTGATAGTCACACTACGTATAAAAGAGAGCAGAACACAGAGATATGTTTTGCACTGTGGGTTGGAGATGTGGACTGTGAAGTATATGAAGAAGAAGAAGAAGAAGAAGAAGAAGAAGAAGAAGAAGAAGAAGAAGAAGAAGAAGAAGAAGAAGAAGAAGAAGAAGAAGAAGAAGAAGAAGAAGAAGAAGAAGAAAAAAAAAAAAAGAAGAAGAAGAAGAAGAAGAAGAAGAAGAAGAAGAAGAAGAAGAAGAAGAAGAAGAAGAAGAAGAAGAAGAAGAAGAAGAAAAAAAAAAAAAGAAGAAAGAAGAAGAAGAAGAAGAAGAAGAAGAAGAAGAAGAAGAAGAAGAAGAAGAAGAAGAAGAAGAAGAAGAAGAAGAAGAAGAAGAAGAAGAAGAAGAAGAAGAAGAAGAAGATGAAGAAGAAGAAGAAGAAGAAGAAGAAGAAGAAGAAGAAGAAGAAGAAGAAGAAGAAGAAGAAGAAGAAGAAGAAGAAGAAGAAGAAGAAGAAGAATGTAGTAGATGACGGTGATGATGATAATGAACAAATAGAAGAAAAGGGTGCTGTTGCTTGAAAAAAAAAAAGACATTACATTTCTGACTGTTGGCGTCAGAAACTATTTATTATTTGTAGGTTTGTTTGGTATATAGTTGTAAAAAAAATTTTTTTAATAATTCTGAAAGCAAATCGAACAAACTGCCCAATATATAATATACTAATCACAAGATACCTGCCAATTTTAAATGCTTACAAGTAGCGTTTATATGTTGAAGAAAAACCTCTGCAAATTTAACCGGAAACTAAGTTCTTCACTTCCGCGTTGGACATGAGAACTGACTTGTCACATAAAAGCATTTATTTTTTACTGACTTACGTGGTTCATTTCAGGTATAGAGGTGAGTATTAATGTGAAAATTTCATTTGCATAACGTTAATTTCCTAAAAAGGCAAGAAAAGTCAAATATTTGACTACTTACATTATTAACAGATGAAAACAGTCTCATCTATGCTCCCGCCATCTTGAAAAACACAAACGCTTCTGATAAGATGAACAACATGGCTGTCCACAACAACTCGCAATTACAGGTCACTCTGATAAGAGCTTATCAGTAAAACAAGAGCGCTTCGTTAAGTTTAGGAATCCGCCACCTCTTAAAATATTTTGGAGATAACTTTAGTCTGATACTTTCCAAGAGGCATTTGTTTTTTTTTTTTAACCTAAGATTTGCGCGCAGCATGAAGTTTTATCAATGTTCTGGTAATGTTATTGCAGATACTGCGAGGTTATGAGACGTTAGGTTTTAACAGATACTAGATCACTATAGGAGTCGTAAATAACTTTGTATCGCCCACCCTGTCCCTACTAATCCCCAGAGAAACCCTTTTGTCACAAAGTGTACATATTTCTTCGTCTACTTTTTTTTCTTTTTCTTGTTTTGTGTGTGTGTGTGTGTGTGTGTGTGTGTGTGTGTGTGTGTGTGTGTGTGTGTGCGTGTGTGTGTGTGTTCACCAGCTGTAAACTCTGGCGGAAAGTTTTGGTTGTTCAGCCACTTCTAGATTTTAGTCCTTTTCCAGAACCTGAATGTAGCGTGTGCATCTATTTTATAGATATGACTCATGGGAATGCAGACTGATAGTTCCTTGCCTCTCATGCAGATACACTGCGTTTTCAAAGGAAGTTCCTAATCAATCAATTCTTGAGACAAGCTTTGTGAGTAGCGACTGCGTCTATTCTTATTTTCCCTACAAAGGCGCCTCTGAACCCACTCGGGGAAATACATTTTCAAGGAAGCTGCATTAGAGCAAGAATTGCAGCAGCCATACTCTGTCCGGACTTCAGATTACATGGGAGCTCCTGTAAAACATTACTGTTGAACAGGGTTTCTGAGAATGTACCTGTGTGATTTACATCCGAGTAGTGACTCTGTGTGTCAACCGGTGTTAATCGCTAAGTATGGGGTTATCATGGTATGGGGCGTCGTAGGTCGACACAGCCTAAAATGGGTACCAGGATTGCTGTCCTGTGGAAGTAAAGACGGCCGGCGTAATGCTGACCACATTACCCACCCAGTGCCGATTGGTCTGTAAAAATATGGGACGCTCTTTCCATATGCCAGATGCACCTAGGGCGTGAAAAGGGATCTTTACTTCTACTTTACTCATTATGTCACAGTAAGGTTCTACTTCACTCAATGCAGTAGCTAGCAGGTTTGACTGTCAACCATGATGCGATTATGTGTTCCCAGTGTCATCAAGACCCATTTAATTTAATTGTTTCAGTCACAGAACTTTTCACAGCAGTTGCTCATGGACAGAAATAACAACTGCGAAACTGCAGAACTTTCAGAGCCATCTGTGAATGCCTGATTTCTGTAGTGTTATACGTCCATAAGCGAAAAGTAACAGAACATATTGCGTATGTTTTGGGATTCATGTCAACAAATTTCTCATTCATGATGCGCTGCTTGGGACCAAAAGAGGTAATGTACGAAGGCATCGAAGTCAACCGAACCTCAAGTGAGTTATAGAAAATGCTCTTCAAACGCGTCCACCTGTTTACCGATCATCAGACCCACTAAAGGAAAGTACTTCTTGGGTATGAAAGTTTGCAGGCAACCGAATGGATTTACATCGTGCTTGAATGAGGGCAACATAATTAAAATCTATGCTGTCTTGAGCAGGGCTAAACATGGTTGTGGGGGGGGGGGAGAGAGAAACGTTCTGCAGAGGACTTGCTACATGATGATCATCATGAATCAGTTTGCAATATCCTTTTGTCTTGGGGGTCTGACTATATATATATATTTTTTTTTACTCCTAGACTTTACTTTTTTTATTTCAGTAAACGTACGTCCGCTTTTATTGGATATTTTTTCAGTGTGTCTGTTTCTTGTATATGTTTTATGTGCACAAGTTGAGTTGAGTAGAATCAAGAATTGATATTACAGAACTCGGGGCATTTCCATGAGTGCTCCGTCCTCATCTTCAGCAGCCAGCGCAGAGTTCCAAAACTTATGGTGCCGGTCGTAATCTGGTTATATGTCAGTCTTCCTTTCATGTGAATTCAATGAGCCGGTCAGACACCTAGGTGCACCATTCTATCCAGGTCATAATAATCGTTTCTTTTCTGACTGTGTTGCTTGTTCCCAACGGGACTTGGCCACATCTGCCTTGTTTAGCCTCAGTTCACCACCCAGAGGTGCAGATCCAGCCAATCTGCCTGCCTGTTCATTCTCCACCACGCCGGCATAGCCTGGAGAAAAGATCCAAAGTATAATCACTACCAATGACCTTCCCAGTGAAGCTTACCACTCTGCTCGAAGCATCCTAACTTCACCTTTCTCAGCAAGCTTTTAGAGTCTGTTATAATTAAGACATGTCTATGCATCTTGTTCTCTGGCCACCAGTAATCTGCAGTTACCGCCTCCACCTCCATTCTCATGCTAAATATTGTGGAATCGTATTCTAGGTTTTCCTGCACTCAAGATGTTCCATTGGATTTCGCTACGAACCCTCGGGCTCTTCTCTTCCCTTTTAACATCGAACCTCGTGTATATATAATCAGATCATCTTAGCGAGATTTGTCGGGAATCAATCGGCTGGCCACTCTCTGCACTTCCGGCCCAATGTGATCATGACCCTACACATGTCAGACTTCTCCTCTGGGACTCTGACCCACTCCTCTCCTTGGCCAATGTTCTCCAGCATGCATTCTTGTCTTTTTGTATCTTTTGCTTGAGCCATCCACGACTGTCCCCTTTTCAGCGTCTAACCCTTACCTGGAGCTAAGCCTGCGGCACCTTTAGCCTATCTTCAATGGTCTCTAATGCTAGAATGTATCGCATGCACACAATCGGTGTGTCTCTTGTACATTGTTTTATTTGCGTTTACGAGTACAGATGTGTTGCGGTCATTTTGGTCACAAGCTGTCGCATGACAGCATCCACACATCTGCCGCAGTAGGAAGGTCCACAAGCTGAACACCCTAAACTCGTCATCGTAACTATGTATTAGAATAGGCCAAGCATAGTTAGATAGTTCGTTTGTTGTGGGGGAGTCCTGATAGGAAAAAACCTCTATAAAACCCTTTGATAATGACTCTTTTAGACTTTGAGTGTCGAATTACATGTTAGGACACATTTTCTACGCCTATTCTAAATAAATTGTCTGACCACTGCACTGCATTAGTGAGCGGGATTCATACGCTAACTGCTGTAGTTAGGGGACGTGTTTGTGTGCGTCACTTCTCTACAGTCCGGTCTTGGAGGCAGGCGTTTTTCCTTGTGTCTCGCCGATTGACCGTTATACAGACAAGATTCCTTATTCTCTTTTTTATTTACAATGGGTGAGTTTTAATTGTATATTTGCGTTCATAGTGTCTGTGATGTAGGTAAGTAAGGTCAGCAGCTGGATAATGCGAATCTGTTTGCCTACGATTCTTGCCAAGGAAGGCGGCGAAAGGAGCTCCGGATCGGAATGCACTTTCGGCTGACATTTCTCACAGAAGGCTTCGAAATGGTCTTTTAAACCTCTTCAATTCAATCAATCTACATATCTGGAGTGGGTTTGTAGTATTGATAACTTTGTATTGTTAATTATTTGCTAGTATTCGGTATCAGAACTTGGTAAGTCTCTGAATTGTTTTGAATGACAAGAAGCTTATGGGCAGACATGACGTCATGTCCGCTGTTGCTAGGTGATTTCGTAACCACAACAAGCTTCGACTGTCGTATTTTTTTCATAACATATTTCAGTAGGTCTTGGTTTTGACTTCATCGCCGATCCCCTATTTTCTACGTTAGAAGGAAGGGTAAATAATGGGGATCTGTCTAACCTTTGCCACAGAACTGAATCCAGGAACTCTTCGAGTTAATGATCTAGTGCTCACTCTAGGAAACAAAAAGGATTCTAAGATTGAGGTAACCAACCTTCATGGTTTGGAATAACCTAAAATATATCTGAGCATTTGGAGGAAGTAAGGACCCTGATTAAATAGGTACGTTGAGTACGGTTCGCTCATGTCTGTTACTTTACGTTTTTCAGGATTTTCTGAAGATCCAACAAGTGTCTATGGATGATAGTGTGGTTCCAACTGCCACGACCCAGTAAACGATTTACGTATGCTGAATTACGGTGTTGAATGTGCGGACGACACTGGAGCCGGAGTCCCTCAATAGTGAGTTGAGTTTCCTGGATCAGCACCTGAAGCTGATTCGTTCCGGTGAAGTGAGTCGACAGTCCTTGATTAATACCAGAAGCTGATTCGTTCATGTGTGGTCGTACTGGGAAGTACGGCAGAGAGAGTTTCCTTTCTGGCATCCGGAGAAGCTGATTCATTCCTGGGTAACCGTGCAGTAAAGTACGGTGGCGTATTACTCCATTCTGAGACGCTGAGGAGCTACGAGATCTGATCAGATAAGTGACGTGGCAGACTAAGATAACTCATCTCCAAATGTGCCTTCATGGTAATGTTTTCTCCTCCGCCGTGATGAACACGATAGTCTATAGGTCTATTTAGAGGAATTCTTTCTCTTGTGTTAGTTTTTCAAAGTTGCGATCGTTCCTTTTATTTCTTCACTACGTTTTTCATTAACTTTGTTAGAGTAAATTCATTACAACCGTGATATAGTTCAATAATCTTCTAGTTGGAAGAAAAGTTTTGTGTTACTGAATTTCATTGTCTTATTCAGAGAGGCAGTGTTGTCTTGTCAAATTCGCTGTTGATTATTTGTTCGACTGGATTTACATTGATCCAGTCTGGGGGCATACAGTGGTGAGGACGTCTGGCCGAGAGGTACCCAAGTGTTCATAATAACCCTGTGGAGTCAGAGCTCGTGTCACCTCATCCCTGAGACAGGTTGAATGGAAAGTTTGAACCGAGGGTTAGGCCTCTAGACGAACGAGAGCCACCATTCAAAACACTTCTGTCTCAGAGCACCTGAGGGATTTGTGAAAATATCCTGTAAGTAGGGTGCGCGACAAAACTGCCATACGACACAGGCAT